AAAAGAGAGTCCATTTATTTCACAGACAACAGTGGCACCCCCACACATGGAGCCATTGGAGAACTGCCACTTTCCATCCCTTGCCCAAGAAATCCCTGATAGAGGATGAACCCAAGAAATGGCCCAAATGACAGAGCTGGTTGCAGTCACTTTGGCAGTGGAGGACATTATCAACAATGTCATTTTTTCATATTTTTACATAATCCAGGAATATTTGGTCCAGTCAGTAGGTACAAAATAGATTTCACATTTAGGGTCATCCCCAATGGGGCTGTCTACGTTGGAAATGTATTGCCTCTAAGATCCCACAAGTTATAGTCTTTCATTATCTCAGCTCCTACCATGGCCCCCTGGAGTTGGCTCACTTAAATGCCATAGCTATCTAACTTGTTCCCATAGCTCAAACTTAATACCTTCCTCACAAACCCCAGGCCCTTAAACTTTGGGCCAAAAGCCATGGCATCTCCATGCCACTGGCCCTAACCCAAACTCTCTCCTTCCCCTCCTAATTTGACCATTTGTCGTCATCCCTCCTGTATCTCCTATAACTTCAACTGCCCTTTCTTCTCACTCACCTTGTTCTCCAAGTTTCAATCTATGCAGCACTGCTTATAATTTGTTCCAATGCTAGCCACAGCCAATGCTAACATATTATAGATTGCTTAACTGAAGCTCCCACCCTCCCTTACTATGTAAGTCTCTGCAATTCTGTATTCTCCTACACAATGTAGTCACACTCTTTAAGAAGCTAAAGCTTATTGACAGGTCCTTACTTAAGACATACCTAAGCCCTGGTGAATGACAGCACACAGGAATGTACCATTTCCCATTACAGACTCCACTGCATCAAAGAATTCCCAGTAGATTTGTCCTTGTCCCATTCTATTTGTTCCTCACATGTTGCTCTCTTGGTATAAGCTAATGCCCTGTAAATTAGATAACATATACCCCCTGGTGTCCCACCACTGAATTTCATCCTTTAGGTGTAATTAGCCTTACACAAAGGCCTCAAAGTCTACCTTCTTCTGTGTCTAACAAGTGGGACCTGGAAATAACTGCCCCAATGTGCCCCATAATGACCTACACAACCACATAAGCTCCAATCTCCTTGTCCAACAATCTATGCTTCACTCTCCACTATTCCCTTACCACAGCACTTCCTACTTTCTTTAGCTTACCAGATAATACCCACAAAACAGCAACAGAACATGGTACCCAAGAGATAAAACTCCAATAATGCTGGGCCTCTTAACAGGCACCCCAGTCTAAGTAACCGCTTATACAATCAATTCCCACACTATTGGAGGTATTCGATACCCATTATTAACTACTCACCTCTCTCTCTCTGGTTACCCTCCAGCTCCTTTACTTCCCTGGGAATTTACTCAACCTCACCAGGTTCTTCCTTAACTTTCCCTTTCCCACAAATCCCAAATGCTTCCTGGCCTCTAACAATTGATACCATATACACCTATTGAAACTATATGGCCCTCACACATATAGAATGGTGTATGCCCTTCTGACAAAGGGCAGAGCAGGCCACCCTTTTATCTATTACAAATTAGGCCTCATCGCAATCTTTGGTGTAATAGTTCTATAGCAGACTTAGCTCTCAGGGGTAGCTATCAGCCAAATATTAATAACATGACAATTCCTGGCAAAACATATATACCAAGCAGCCCAAGATTTAGAAGCCCTTAATAAAATATAAAGTTCTGTAGCTGCTACAGTAGCTGATAAATACATTAGACTACATACTGGTCTTTCAAGGTGGACCATTGAAGTGAACCTCTGGCCACATGTAGGTCATTAAAACAGGAAAGGTCTCCAGAATAGTTCAACAGATAAAACAAGTCAAAAATAACCATTACTAAATTACTAAAATATGGCAAGAGATTCCCCGAATCTCCATTGATTTCTTCTCCTGGTGGCCTCCTCCTGCCTGGATTAACACTTTGTGGCCTAATGTTATCTTTCAGGGAGTTATGATTGCTGGCCTAATTGTTATATATTGGGTCAATCTGGCATATTTGGTCTCTCTTATATAAATATGTTTATTTATAGGAAACCTGGGAGGTCACTGTGCTAACACAAACCTCAGGGATGAATTGTGAAGATCGTAGAAAAGAAAGTTGAATTTTAACTTAGTGGAAGCAGCCTAGAAGCCTCATCTCGCCATGTCCATCACACTCCTTATAAAGGTTCACCTACCACCCCACAGGTGCACATGTCCTCCTGCCACCACTTTTAAACTCTGTGCTGGCAAGACTTGCCCTTCATAAAATGCTTGAACACTGACAACTCTTTCTCTTTCTCTCTGTTCTGGATCTTTTCTTGAACAGCCACTTCCCTCTCCCCCATCTTTCTTTGATCATTCCAAAGGACTGTCATGAATTTTGACATCCAAACCTAACCTTGGAGGGAGTTTCCACATCACAGTGGAGGTGTAGTAATAGACATATAGATTGGCAGGGAAAAATAATTTTTTTTTTACAGATATCATGATGGTCTACATAGAAAATCACAAGGAATCTACAGAACAACTACTTCACCTAATAAGTTTGGCAAGATTGTAGGATACCAGGTCAACACAAAACAATCAATTGCATTTCTCTATACTAAAAAAGAACAATTGGAAATTGAAATTTAAAAAAATAGTACCATTTAATTTAGCATCAAATACCACAGAATACTTGGGAGTAAATCTAATAAAATGTGTACAGGATCTATATGCTAAAAACTACAAATTACTGATAAAAGAAACCAAAGGAGTCCTAAACAAATAGACAGATACACTATGTCTATAGTTTAGAATATAAAATACTGCTGAGATGTCAACTGTCCCCAAACTCATCCACAAATTTAATGCAACCCCAATAAAAATCCCAACAATTTATTTTTAGAAATCACAAAGCTGATACTAAAAATTATGGCAAGGCCAACAAATTAGCCAAAATAATTCTGAAAAAGATAAGTGGAGTTGGAAGACTCATGCTATTTGATTTTAAGATATTTTAAAAAGCTACAAAAGTCAAGATGGTGCCATATTTAGCAAAATGATACATCAATGAAATCAGAGAGGCCAGAAAAAGACCTACACATGGATGGTCACTGGATTTTTCACAAAGGTACAATGGCAATTCAATGTTGAAAGGATACTTAATTGGATTTTCATATTCAAAAATTGGAACTTGACCTCACACCTTATATAAAGATTAATCCAAATAGATCACAAACCTAAATGTAAAACTTGAAACCAAAAAAGTTTTATTTAAAAAGTAGGAGAAAAATCTTTGTGATCTTGGATTAGACAGAGTTCTTATATTTGAAACCAAATCACCATCCATCAACGAAAAAACCTGAACTTAAAAAACTTGCACTCTGTAAAAATATTGTTAATGGAATAAAAACATAAGCCAAATAATGGGATAAAATATTTGCAAAACACATAACTGACAAAGATGTGTATCTAGAACATTCAAAGAACTCTCAAAAATCAAGAACAAGAGAGTAAACAATCCAGCTTGAAAACAAAACGGGCAAAAGATGTGGACACAGTTCACCAAAGAAAATAGGTATATGGATAGCAAACAAGTATATGTAAAGATGTTTAACATAGTCATTAGGTAAATGTAAATTAAAGCAAAAATGAGATGTCATTATAAACCTCTGAAATGCTAATAACAAAATAAAAGCAAAACAAAACCCTGACACCAGAGTGAGGATAAGAAACTGGCATTTTCATACCTCAGTGGTGGGAATGCAAAATGGTAGTTGCCTTGTTAGAAGTTTGTCACTTTTTCATAGTTAAACATACTCTTACCATACAACCCAGCAATTCCACTCCTAGGTATTTACTAAGACAAAAGAAAATTTATGCCAATACAGAAAACTATATGCACTGTTTATACCTGCTTGCTTCATTATTGCCAAAACCTGGAAACCCAAACATTCTTCAAGTGATAAATGGGAAAAACAAATTGAGGTACATACACACAACAGAATACTAGTGAGCAATAAAAAGAAGTGACTACTGTACTGATATACACAACAAGATGGATCAATCTCAGAAACATTAAAATAAGTGAAATAAGCCAGACTCAAAAGGCTACATACTGTAGAATTCCATTTATATGACATCCTGGAAAAGATAAACTATATAAACAGAAAATAGGTCAGTGGTTGCTTAAGTGCTGGTGATGGAGAGAGGAGGTGACTACATAGAACAAGGGAATTTTAGGGCAGGAAGTGCTAGAATCATTTAATGTCTTGATTGTGGTGATGGCAGTTATATGATAGTAAGCATTTGCAAAACTCATGATAAAGAGTCAATTTTAACACTATATAAATTATTCCTTAACTATGAAGAGTGTTAGCTTATGGGATTTTCATAGATGCCTTTTATCTTGAGAAATTTTTTCACCATGAATGGATGTTGAATTTTATCAAATGCTTTCTCTGAATCTATTGAGATGATTATATATTTGATCATAAGAATCCAGACACAAAAAGAGTACATACAAAATCTATATGAAGCTCAGGAACAGACCTAATTAATTTATGATATAGAAATCATAATACTTGGTACTGGAGGTGGGATTGACTGGGAATGGACACGAGAAATTCTTTCGGTTTAGTCAAAATATTGTATATATTGATCTTGGTGATGATTACACTAAGTGTATGTTTGTCAAAATTCAGGAAACATAAATTTGAGATGTATGCATGTTAGTACATGCAAATAATACCTCAATAAAAGTACTGTTAGCATATGAAAATGCTAGTCACAAGCCACAGAAATGATTTCTGGAACCACTAATGGGTTGCAACCTTCAGTTTGACAAATACTAGTCTACAAGGCCTGCAGGAAAGGGAAAATGAGCCCATAGGACTAACTTCAATGTCCTCCAAGTCTTGCAGAATTCCTTGAGTACAAAACTTTTGGAAACTGAATAAAAATTTCAAATATGACAGTAATCCATATATTACTAAAAACTTACAATATATTAGGCACTCAAAAGGCAGAGTTGGTGTGGCAGTCAATGAAGTCTCTCTCTTTTTGGAGCTTGTATTTTAGAATAGAGTTTGGCATTTCCATTGTAGTACTTTTGGTTAACTGCAGATCAGAATCATCCTTCCTGAGCCTCTCATTTGCATGTATCTGCTAAGTGTCAAGGTTCTGAATGAAGTCTGTATGTCTCCACTCTCATGAGGCTTCTCTGCTGTGTGGTCTCCTAACCACTGTGACATGCAGAACTCCAGCTGAAATACTGACTCTTTTATGAAACGAATGCTTTGTCTCCTATGATGGCTCTGATAATTGGAATATTTAAGCACCCATTTGAGATATTAAAACATAATTTTATTGAGCTTCTTTCTTGTGTGAATCCTCTGATGAAGGAAAGTCTTTCTCACTCTCATCAGCATGGACTTTCTGATGAATGATAAGACTTGAGCTCCAGCTGAAGCTCTTCCCACAGTCCTCACATTTGTATGGTTTTTCTCCAGTGTGAACTCTCTGATGGGCTTGAAGGTATGAGCTCCAACTGAACACCTTCCCACATTCCTCACATTTGTATGGTCTCTCTCCTGTGTGGACCCTCTGGTGAGCTTGAAGGTAGGATCTCTGTCTGAAGCGTTTACCACACACGTCACATCGATATGGTTTTTCTCCTGTGTGGACTCCACGATGAGCCAGAAAATTTGAGGCCCGACAGAAGCCCTTGCCACACTCCTCACATTGGTACGGTTTCTCTCCAGTGTGGCACCTCTGATGGGCTTGAAGCTGTGAACCTACACTGAAGCCCTTCCCACACTCTGCACACTGATATGGTTTTTCTCCAGTGTGGACTCTCTGATGTACTTGAAGACTTGAGAATTGACTGAAGGCCTTACCACACTTCTCACATTTATAGGGTTTCTCTCCTGTGTGAATTCTACAGTGAACATTAAGATCTGAACTCCGACTGAAGCCCTTCCCACATGTACCACATTTGTATGGTTTCTCTCCAGTGTGGCCTCTTTGATGAGCCAGAAGATTTGAGGCCTGACTGAAGCCCTTACCACACTCCTCACATTTATAGGGTTTTTCTCCTGTATGGACTCTACAATGAATGTTAAAATCTGAGCTACGACTAAAGCCCTTACCACAAGCATCACATTGATATGGTTTCTCTCCAGTGTGGCCTCTTTGATGGTCCAGAAGATTTGAGGCCCGGCAGAAGCCCTTCCCACACTCCTCGCATTTGTATGGTTTCTCTCCAGTGTGGCTTATCTGATGGGCTTGAAGGTGTGAGCCCACACTGAAACCTTTGCCACACTCCTCACATTTATACGGTTTCTCTCCTGTGTGGATTCTACAATGAATGTTAAGATGTGAGCTATAACTAAAGCCCTTGCCACATGCATCACATTTATATGGTTTCTCTCCAGTGTGGATTCGCTGATGAGCCTGTAGTCGTGAACGCCAACTGAAGCTCTTTCCACATTCTTCACATTTATAAGGTTTCTTTCCAGTGTGGACTCTCTGATGGACTTGAAGATATGAACTCTGGCTGAAGCCTACCCCACACTCCTCACATTTATAGGGTTTCCCTCCTGTATGGACTATTAGAGAAGCTTGACAATGTGCACTCTTCCTGATATTCCTCCCATACTCCTCATATTTGTATAAATTCTCTCCAGTGGGGATTCTCTGATGATGGTGAAGATGTGACCTCTGACTGAAACCTTTACAAGATACATCATATTTGTACGATTGCTCTTTACTATGGACTTTCTGATGCGCTTGAAGACTTGAAAACCGACGGAAAGTATTATCACATTTTTCACATTTGTAAGATTTCTCTCCTGCATGGGCCCTCTGGTTAACTTGAAGATGAGAGCTCCAACTGAAACTTTTCTCACACTCTTCTCCTTTGAAGGGTTTTTCACCAGTGTGGACTCTGTGGTGAGCCTGAAGATGTGAATTCTGATTACTGAATGCCTCATCTTTACAGGGTAGATCACCTTGTTTTTCCAACTGAGAGCCAGTTCCTTGAATATTTACCATGGAATCTTGATACCTGGTTAACTCCCTTGTAACTTGTTGCCAGATTTGTGAGCAGAAAAGCTCTTCATATGACAGGTACCTTAATCCTATATCTTGAAGAGTCTCCATCTCATTTAGATTCTTGCCTCCTAAAAATATAAAAAAATTCGGAGATGGGGCACATGAATGCTTTGTTCAGAGATGTCAAGGTTATAAACTTAGGCCAATAGCTTAAGGGTTTATTAAACCAGGAGAAGGTTCTGTTTTCCATCACCATGTTATCTTGTTATCTGATTTACATGCCCCAAGAAAACAAGAGGCAGTCCACCAGGCTCCCATTCACTGCACATTAATGAAACCCACTTAGAGTCATGCTAAATTTCTAAGTGAGCTACAAGTTAGAAACTGGTGGCTACAAAGCAAAAACACAAAAACAAAAACTTTCTAGGAAACCTTTACCAAGAAGTTGCACCTCACTAAAGTCCTCATCTTTTGCTGCATCAAGTATCTAATAAATAGCTTTCACATAATTTTGCTTACTGCATGGACATCTGAACAAAATGGTCCTGCTCAAAATGTCCAGCAATACTCCTACAGATAGATTATCAGATATCCCCTAGCAATGTCAAAAACCTTTGCCTTGGATGATTTCATTTGAAGTTTACTCCAACATTAGGCACCTTGGAGACACTGTACTGGTTGACTGGTTGTAAAGACAGATGTTTGGGAAAGAAAATAACTCATCATCTAAGTGGCTGAAGTTTGAGTATAAACAGATAGTGGTCTTTTACCTCTTGCTGGGGAAGATCCTCTATGAGAACAACTGGGAGAAGAAGATTATGGTAGTAACAAATATTATTCTAAAGCATGATCACAATTAAAGCTTCTATAACCTCCAGCAGCAAAAAAGGTAAAAAATTAGAATCTAATCTTTTTTTTTTTTTTTTTTGAGACAGAGTCTCACTTTGTTGTCCAGGCTAGAGTGAGTGCCGTGGCGTCAGCCTAGCTCACAGCAACCTCAAACTCCTGGGCTTGAGTGATCCTTCTGCCTCAGCCTCCCGAGTAGCTGGGACTACAGGCATGTGCCACCATGCCCGGCTAATTTTTTATATATATATCAGTTGGCCAATTAATTTCTTTCTATTTATAGTAGAGACGGGGTCTCGCTCTTGCTCAGGCTGGTTTTGAACTCCTGACCTTGAGCAATCCGCCCGCCTCGGCCTCCCAAGAGCTAGGATTACAGGCGTGAGCCACAGCGCCCGGCCTTAGAATCTAATCTTTTAAAACAGAGCAAGAACTTGTGAGGAGGAAATAAGTAGGGCAAGAGTACAGACCTCAAAGTTAACACTAGACAGGAAGAGTTATGTTCTCTGGGAACTTTGTTCCACCAATTAGCATCCTGGCTTGCTCCTCATTTCTTATTAAGGTCTCTTTTCAAATAATGCTTTATCAGGTAGTCCTCTTTTATCACCAAATATCAAACAGTAAATTCTCCCTGTCCACCATACACCTGTTTGGTGATTTCCATTCACCTGTTTTGTTTTTACACAGCGCCTATTATCCTCTGACAAACTATATATGTCCTATCATTTTGTTTTTATTTTTTTTTCTTTTTGAGACAGAGTCTCACTCTGTATCCCCGGTTAGAGTGCCGTGGCATCAGCCTAGCTTACAGCAACCTCAAACTCCTGGGCTCAAGCGATCCTTCTGCCTCAGCCTCCTGAGAAGCTGGGACAACAGACATGTGCCACCATGCCCAGCTAATTTTTTTCTATATATTTTTAGTTGGCCAGCTAATTTCTTTCTATTTTTAGTAGAGACAGGGTCTTACTCTTGCTCAGGCTGGTTTTGAACTCCTGACCTTGAGCGATCCGCCCACCTCGGCCTTCCAGAGTGCTAGGATTACAGGCATGAGTCACCATGCCCAGCCCTGTCCTATCATTTTGTTTATGCCTTTATATCCAAGAGGACAAGCATTTTATATAGTTCACTATTTTATCACCACTCCAAGAACACTGCCTGACACATAGTGGTTAATAAATGAATCCCAGTTTGACTTCATTGGGGGGACTGCCAGCCAAGTTACAAAATAAAAAGAGCTTTTTCAAACAAGCTATCCATAATAGCAAAGGGATGAGAAACACCAACTGCTTTACAGGGTATATCATGGGGAAGGTGAAAGCCTTAACTAGATGTAGGGCTAAGCTAAGTGGATGCTGTTAAGAAAATCATGCTGATCACAAAATCATGGTAACAATTACTTGACAGAAAAAAAATCACAAAGCATAAAAGTGGCATGGGGCCTATGGATTGATTGTTTCTGAAAGTTTTGTTCTTTCCTCTCCTCTGTTTGAAATTTTTCCTTTTTCAAATGGAAGTCAACTCATGAATAATGTTGTCTCTGAAAGTTGACTGTAAAAAAATCGAGGAATATATTGTAGATAAATTTCCCTATATGGACCACTGGTTTTCAAACAGAAGGCTGGGACTCATTAGTGAGTTGGAAATAAACTTAGTAGTATGACAAGCATTAAGAGAATAGAAAAATATCAGAGATGCTTTGTAAGCAGTAAAGGCATCTCTCTGCATAAATGCTTAAGACCATTAAGACTACACAACACACACACACACACACACACACACACACACACACACACACACTCACTCACTTTACACGAGGGCTGTCCAGAAAGTATTCAGCCATTGTTAATATGAGAACATATTACATGGCTGGATACTGTAGGACAGCCCTTGTACATGAATGTTTGTACCATTTATGATATAAAATGTATTTCTTACTGTTACTCATACTCAAAAAAGTTTGAAAGCCACTAGCCTAAATGATTAAGAAAGGTATTAATTCCTCAATCAAACAATTAAATTGTTCAAATGGAAAGTTATGTTTTAAGGATAGAAACTTGGAAAATATGATAGATAAATGTGTTTAAGTTCGTACCTACAAAATTTGTTGTTTCTGTACACAACTTGCAAGTTATTACTTTTAAATGTGATCTTTTGTGTCTTCCTGAGAATGTGTCAATTTGAGGAGGGTGATTTCCTAATTCTGCCCATTCAATTATTATGTTTCTAATTGAAAATATGTTAGGCCTTTATTAGAATGAAGGGAAAACTCTCTAAAATCTATCTTCTTTAATATGTGTTTATTTAATGGCTATCTTCTATAACATTTATTTGTTTAGTGGCTAAGTTTGTAGAAAACAAAGGCATGGACATGTAGACTGTATTTTTGAATATGGATGACTAAAATGATAGGTAACATTCTTTGCTGTAACTCTCTTTGGAAGAAGTAGACAGCTGTCACAAGGAACATCCTTAAAGGGAAAGACTCAAGATTTTTCTTTCCTTATGTAAAGTATAGCTATTTTCTTTTATAGGGGATCTGCGTAAGAAGTGGCTTATGAGAATTAATCTTTTCTAAAAAGTAGTTCTTCACCAAGTAAGTATGATTCACTACTAAAGATTATAGGAAAACCACACAGGGGAAACATTCAATTTGATTACAACTGGAAAGCTAAGCTAAGCTTTCATTAGATGTGGGGGTACCATGGTCTCAATATGTGTGTCTCCTCACAATTAATATGCTGAAATCCTAACTCCCAAGGTGATGGTATTAGGGAGGTGATTAGGCCATGAGGGTGGAGCCCTCATGAATGGGATTAGTGCCCTTATAAAAGAGGCCCAAGATGGCCAGGTGCGGTGGCTCACGCCTGTAATCCTAGCACTGTGGAAGGCTGAGGCAGGCGGATCGCTCGAGGTCAGGAGTTCGAAACCAGCCTGAGCAAGAGTGAGACCCTGTCTCAACTATAAATAGAAAGAAATTAATTGGCCAACTAATATATATAGAAAAATTAGCCAAGCATGGTGGTGCATGCCTGCAGTCCCAGCTACTTGGGAGGCTGAGGCAGCAGGATTGATTGAGCCCAGGAGTTTGAGGTTGCTGTGAGCTAGGCTGACGCCACAGCACTCACTGTAGCCTGGCCAACAAAACGAGACTCTGTCTCAAAAAATAAATAAATAAATAAAAATAAAAATAAATAAATAAATAAAAGAGGCCCAAGAGAGACCCCTTGCCCCTTCCACATAAGGACATAGCAAGAAGGCACTATCTGTGAACCAGAAACTAGACCCTCACCAGAAATTGCATCTGCTGGTACCCTGAACTTGGACTTTCCAGCCTCCAGAATGGTTAGAAGAAAATTTCTGTTTATAAGACACCCACTCTAAGGTATTTTATTATAGTAACCTAAATAAACTAAGATAGTAGATTAATGGATACCTATCTACATATATCCAAAAGCATCAAATATATTAAAATTAGATTAGGCATTCATCAGGAAAAGAAAACTGTTCTGGTCTATGCCTTCATCACACTTTTTTGTTTACCAATCTTTAAGCATCTCTGTGACTTAATGGAAGAAAGCCCAGGTAAACATTATTAACTCATTCAATACATATTTACAGCACATCTGCATTCTACCAAGTCTGTTCTATATACTGACAATATAGCAATAAACAAACAGACAAAATTTCTCCTGTTCTGAGATTACACCCCAGTGTGAATGTAGTGAGATAAAGAAGTAAACAAAAATGTATGTTAATATGGTAAGTGGTGGTCAGTGCTTACATGTAAAATAAAACAGGGTAGGGCAGGGGGAGTGAAGGAGAAGGTATAATTAAGAGAGTGGTCATGGGAAGCCTTAGTTATGATGTTACATCTGAGAACAGACCTGAATGGAGAGTCCAAGAGGATGACAGAGTGAAAACGTAGTCCTGACAGAAAGAGGATAAATTAATGGATGATGAGGCAGGAACATCCTTGGCCAGTGTGGATGGAACTGACAAGGAGGGAAAAGTCATTGGTCATATTTACAGAGGGATGGGGAAAGAGGGAGGAACAGACATGTGGGATATCATAAGCATTATAAGCACCTGGATTTTACTCTGAATCAAGTAAGAGGCTATCGGAGGTTCTGTGCAGAGAATGATGCGATAGGACTAACATTCAAAAGAATGAATTCGGCCAGGCACAGTGGCTCACACCTGTAATCCTAGCACTCTGGGAGGCCGAGGCGGGAGGATTGCTCAAGGTTAGGAGTTCAAAACCAGCCTGAGCAAGAGTGAGACCCCGTCTCTACTAAAAATAGAAAGAAATTAATAGGCCAACTAAAAATATATATAGAAAAAAATTAGCTGGGCATGGTGGCGCATGCCTGTAGTCCCAGCTACTCGGGAGACAGAGGCGGGAGGATTGCTGGAGCCCAGGAGTTTGAGGTTGCTGTGAGCTAGGCTGATGCCACGGCACTCTAGCCCAGGCAACAGAGTGAGACTCTGTCTCAAAAAAAAAAAAAATCAATTCAAGTGGAGACTCAACTATAAAAGAGCAAGACTGAAGAGTGAGAGCAGTACAAAGACTGCTGCAGTAACCCACAGCATAGGCATTGGCTTAGGCCACCGCCAAAGCTCTGGAGGTGACAAGGAACAGGATAGACTCAGAGCCACACAGCTCTCACCTGAGGAGTTACCACTCTGAGTAGCTGCTGTCTTCATTATCCAGAGCTTTTCTTCTCTCTCTAACTGGGAAATACCATCTGGTTTGAAGGATGGGTGCCCTGGGAAAAAGCAAGGACATAATTTATAATTACTACATTAGAGCCCGAAATAACTAAAAATTGTTGGTCTTACTTTATCATCTTCAGGACATCAAAATTAGTATTTTCCAAACTTTTAATCATGACTCATTGAAGGAAATAAATTTCATACAAATACCCAAGATATAAGTATAATAAATTTCTGGAAAAAATGTGTTTTCATTATACCCTCTCCACTGTCTTTCATGCTCTTCTTGATAACAGGCTGCAGATTTTGCTACAATATGCAGTTTTTGCCAAGGGCTCTGATATTTTCTAACCTATTTTATTTCATTTAAAAATGGTGGTACGGGCCGGGCGCGGTGGCTCACGCCTGTAATCCTAGCACTCTGGGAGGCCAAGGCAGGCGGACTGCTCGAGGTCAGGAGTTCAAAACCAGCCTGAGCAAGAGTGAGACCCTCTCTCTACTATAAATAGAAAGAAATTAATTGGCCAACTAATATATATAGAAAAAATTAGCCAGGCATGGTGGCACATGCCTGTAGTCCCAGCTACTTGGGAGGCTGAGGCAGCAGGATTGCTTGAACCCAGGAGTTTGAGGTTGCTGTGAGCTAGGCTGACACCACGGCACTCACTCTAGCCTGGGCAACAAAGCGAGACTCTGTCTCCAAAAAAAAAAAAATGGTGGTACAATTCACTAAATGTATATCATGACCCACTAATTGGAGATGACCACAATTTGAAAAAGGACAAACCATAGAGTAATCATGCTGTCAATTTATAGTTCATTAACAAAATACACACTTTAGCCGAGGAAGACAGCTTTTAAAAACTCCGTATCTGTGTCACATGATGCTTAGAAAACTGAAAACCTGTTCAAGAGCTCCAAAAGCCCTCACACCCAAGGACATAGAGACATCAGAGCGAGCTGATGCTCAGCCAGAGAGTGCCTGTCCTCACCCACTGAAACCACGTTCCTGAAATTCTCCAGCATGACATCTTGGTACAGCTTCCTCTGAGCATGGTCCAGCAGCCCCAGCTCCTCCTCAGTGAAGATCACAGCCACGTCCTTGAACGTCACTGCGTCCTACAACATCAAACAAACTGCACCTAAATCTTGCAACAAAGGTGCACTAAAAGAAAGACAGCACTGAAAAAAGTATAAAAGATGTGTAGGAAATGGTTCTGGATTCTGAGACCACAGCCAACTTTAATATAGTTAAACATTCCAAATAATGTACATTGTTTTTGTTTTTTCCTTTTCATAATAAGTGTTGAAAAGAGTAATTTTTTACATACATAATGGCCTACCTGTCTATTTTCTCAGGATAAGTTTCAAGAAGTGAAAATTACAATGTCAAAGAATATGCAACTTCAAAATTATGATATACAATGGCTGATTTTCTTTTCAGTTTTGTCCCTATCTTATCCTTCTCCTAAGAGAATATAAGTATACCATAGACAGCACTGAATATAACCAATTTTATTAAATCCTAGGCAATCTGATCAGTAATTAAAATGCATATGAGACCAAGTAATGCCTCATAAGGTTGGTCTGAGGAATAAATGCAGTAAGAAAAGTAAAGCACTTAGCAAGTATTCTTATACTACTGTACTTTTAAAATTAAGTACATTATTACTTTGATAAAATAAATTAATACATGAATTAAAAAATACAAACCAGTAAATAAACATGCACAAGTTATAACTCAGGCATGGGTAAGAAAAATCTAGCTTTCTTATGTGGAAATATCTAATAATATTTTCTCTGATCAGTTACATCATGTTGCATCATATCATATTGGAATATTCTACATACAAAATACTTAAACTACCATATATCGAAAGTCCTTTTTCAATTTAGTGTTCCTAAGACATTTGGAATATTTTTTTTTTACATTATTTTTTTCTCAGTAGCAATTTATGTCTTAACATTAGGAATAAATAATAGTAAAACTCCTTCAAATTCCTTTTTGGGGATAATGGTTATAAAAATTCTAAATTATTAATACTTACATGTTCCTGAATAGAGAAAACTTATCTCACACACATACCACAAAGTACATCAATTCTAGGGAATATAATGTAGCCATTAAAAATGTAGGGTATATAATATTAGAAAAGACGTAATTTGAAAATTTTACCTATACAATGATTACAAATACACAGTCATGAATGCATATGAGGAAAAGAACATGGGAAAATAAAAAGTTGTTTTATAAGGGAAATAGTAGAAAAATGGGAGACTTTTATCCCTGTTATAGACTTTCCTATTTTATGCTTAGTCATAAAATAACACAACAAAAATGAAACTACACTAAAATAAAAAGTAGCAAGCACTTGGCACACAAGAGGTTCTCAAATGTCTACTTTTCTCCTTAATCCTTCCCAAGAAAGAGAATAAGATCTGTGTAATCTTTGAGAAATGAGAGGGCAATTATAACCTAGAAAGGGAAGCCCAACTCACCTCGGACTTGGTCATCTTGTCCTCCTGCTTCTGGGGAAAGGCCAAGTCTTAGGAAGGCATATGTGGGAGAGAGGAATAAAGCTATGAGTGTTTGGCCAAGGATATCGATAACCCATATGGCTGTTTTACTTGAAACAGCCACAGTGTCCCTTCCTCAGGGTGGCCTGATGAGCAGAGTGTACGCTGGATTCCAGACACCACTCACCCCTTTGGCTCTGAGAACCCACAGTGAGTGAACTGTCCAACCACACACAGTGTTCGCTTAACACAAGTTCTCCTTGTGTCTCTCAAGGTATAACTATGATTCCGGAAAGAGTAGAAATTGATAGTAAAGTATGCAGGTTTAAGAGAGTAATCTCTGGGGCCACATGTCTAGATTCATGGCACTGCTATTTATTAGCTGTGAAATCTCAGACAAATTATTAACATCTCCATGCCTCAATTTTTCAACCATAAAATGGAGAAATTAACAATGAGAAAATTAATAATCTGATAGGATTGTAGTAAGAATTAAATGAGTAGGAAGAAAGCTCAGAGAACACTTTCAGAGTACCTTATTTCATAGTTGCAGAAAAGCAGGTAATATTCAGTAACATAAAAACTGTCCTCATAGATGGTTTCTATCAATGAGCCTTTAGAGAACATTGCTCTGTCATAAAAAAATCACCTCTTAGATATCTGTTATTCTCTCTTGGTTTGTCATACTTAATTTGATGCCTCTGCAATAACAGTTAAGATTACAGTAGTCCTCTCTGATCTGTAGTTTTACTTTCTATGGTTTCAGCTACCTGAGGTCAACTGTGATCCAAAAATAGGCGAGTACAGTACAGTAAGATATTTTGAGAAAGAGAGAAAGAAACCACATACACATAACTATATTATAGTATATTGTTATATTTTTTAAATTGTTCTATTTTTTTTTTTTTTTTTTTTTTTTGAGACAGAGTCTCACTTTGTTGCCCAGGCTAGAGTGAGTGCCGTGGCGTCAGCCTGGCTCACAGCAACCTCAATCTCCGGGGCTCAGCGATCCTGCTGCCTCAGCCTCCCGAGTAGCTGGGACTACAGGCATGCGCCACCATGCTCGGCTAATTTTTTGTATATATATTTTTAGTTGGTCAATTAATTTATTTCTATTTTTGGTAGAGACGGGGTCTTGCTCAGGCTGGTTTCGAACTCCTGATCTTGAGCAATCTGCCCGCCTCGGCCTCCCAAAGTGCTAGGATTACAGGCGTGAGCCACCGCGCCCGGCCTAAATTGTTCTATTTTATTATTAGTTATTGTTATTCTCTTACTGTGCGTAATTTATAAATTAAACTTTATCATAGGTATATACATATAGGAAACAACATAGTATATACAGGGTTGAGTACTATCTGGGGTTTCAGACATTCACTAGGAGCCCTGGAACATATCCCCTGTGAATAAGTGGAGACTACTGTACATAGATGACTGGTTTTTTTTTTTGGTGGTAAAATATATAACATAAAATTTACCATTTTAACCATTCTTTAAGTATATAGTTAAGTAAGTACATTTGCGCCGTCATGCAACCATTACCACTGTCCATCTCCAGGACTCTTTCATCATCCCAACTGAAATTCTTATAGCAATGATTTCCCATTCTCCTACCCCAGTCCCTGGTAAACCAATTTGCCTCTAGGAATTTGACTATATCAATGACTGGTTTTTAGAAGGTATAAGACCTTGCAAAATTTACTGTTAACAGTAGGACCTTCAAAAGACTATTATGAGGCCAGGCACAGTGGCTCAGGCCTGTAATCCTAGCACTCTGGGAGGGCGAGGCACGTGGATCGTTTGAGCTCAGGAGTTCAAGACCAGCCTGAGCAAGAGTGAGACTCTGTCTCTACTAAAAAAAAAATTAGAAAGAAATTAGCTGGACAACTAAAAATATATAGAAAAAAAATTAACTGGACATGGTGGCACATGCCTGTAGTCCCAGCTACTCGGGAGGCTGAGGCAGAAGGATTGCTTGCGCCCAGCACAGCACTCTAGCCTGGACAACAAAGTGAGACTCTGTCTCAAAAAAAAGACTATCGAGTAGCACCTAAGTGGACACATAGGTACTACAGTAATAGGGTATAGGGCAAGTGGGAGGGCGTAGGTATATACATATATAATGAGTGAGATGCGTACCATCTGGGGGATACTCATGCTGGAAACTCAGACTTGTGGGGGCAGGGGGGAAGGGCATTTATTGAAACCTTAAAATCTGTACCCCCATAATATGCCGAAAAAATAAATAAATAAATAAATAAATAAATAAATAAATAAATAAAAAAAAATAAAATAAAATAAAAAAGACTATCATGGAGATAAAGCAAATTTGATAAAATCCTGTGACTCTGCAAGATTTATGCAACCATAAGTTAGATAATTAATATGTCATTGAAATTAATAAGCTATAATAATCATAAAATAATGGTAATGGTTAAATATAATAATGGTTAAATAATGGTTAAAAATAAATGGTAATGTTTAACATTAAATGAAGAATACATACATGTTAGAGGCCTTATAAAGCATTTGGTGCACATTATTTCATGAAGGTACTCAACATACAATTGTGAAGAAGCTACTGTTGTACCAGTCATATAACCTTGGTCCTACTACCTAAACCTCTGTGCCTATCTTCAGCCATAAAAAGGAGATAAAAACTGAATTTTAATCATAGGATTATTGTGGGCAATAAATAAATGAATTTATACAATACCTGGCATTTTAGGAAGTTCTCAACAAATGATGATAGTGAAAATCATTGTTCCCATTCAACAGGTGAGGAAGCTGAGGTTTGGTGAAGTCAAGAGGCAGGAGTGGTACCTGAATCTACCTTTCATATCAGAGCCAGTATTCTAAATCTTGTCTCTCTGTTGCTTCTAAAAGAGAAATGACAGCTTAAGAGCTAGAGATAAGAGAAAGACAGCCGGGCGCTGTGGCTCACGCCTGTAATCCTAGCTCTTGGGAGGCCGAGGCGGGCGGATTGCTCAAGGTCAGGAGTTCAAAACCAGCCTGAGCAAGAGCGAGACCCCGTCTCTACTATAAATAGAAAGAAATTAATTGGCCAACTGATATATATATAAAAAATTAGCCGGGCATGGTGGCGCATGCCTGTAGTCCCAGCTACTTGGGAGGCTGAGGCAGGAGGATCACTCAAGCCCAGGAGTTTGAGGTTGCTGTGAGCTAGGCTGACGCCACGGCACTCACTCTAGCCTGGGCAACAAAGCGAGACTCTGTCTCAAAAAAAAAAAAAAAAAAAAAAAAAGAGAAAGACAAAGAAATGGAGAGAGTACTCTGAAACCAAAGGAGCTGCTTGAGGGAGGAGAGAACAGAGCAGCCCAACAGTACTGGAATATTGGCATCTCCAACTTGCTAGTACTTTGTTCCTTAATGTCAATCTATAAATTGGGAGTAATAATAATATCAACCTAGGCTGGGCGCGGTGGCTCACGCCTATAATCCTAGCACTCTGGAGGCCAAGGCAGGAGGATTGCTCGAGGTCAGGAGTTCAAAACCAGCCTGAGCAAGAGTGAGACCCCGTCTCTACTATAAATGGAGAGTTTTATTTCCAATTTATTCCTCTAGGTCTTTCACAATATTTGCTGACCTTGGGTAAGATTGAGGTCATCTTTGGAAGGAAAAGAGTCTTGGGATTTTGTTAAATACCATCTTAGGAAGGTGCTTTCTCCTCTTCAAAGTCAGTGCCTACATGGATTGCTGTTACAGAATCCACAGAATATGTCCATCAAAATATTGACAATGACAACTATTTCATTGCCTGTATAACTAGTACTGGACAGGTTAACTTATTACTTCTTCATTAACTAAGTTTCTTAATTCAATGAACACTTATGGGAACCTTACTAAAAAAGATATTTAATACATTTCCCTAGTCTCAAGATGCTCACAGTCAAGTGATCAGGAAACCAGCAATCATGCTACAAATGGTTAAATGCCAGAGTAATGCACAGGGTCCTCTGGCAGCACAGGAATGGGCTCCTAAACCCACATTGCAATGCAGGGGCTTCTTAACGTGGATTAACCCGAGTTCTGGAGGATGACTGAGCTCTACCAGCCAAAAAGAAGCAGAATTGCTAAAAAAAAAACTGCCAGAGAACAAATGTTATGATGTGAGGACAAACAAGAGGCAGAAAAAGGTGGGCAGAAGAGCAGAATTCAAACCATAATGATTTCCAGTGGAACTATACCTTCTTTCAATGGCATTAACCTCTCCATGTTGTCACTAGGCCACCTTCATAAATAGGACTCAGGTACAATTCATCTCATCAGCCCCACCAGATCCTCAACAAAACAGGTTTGAACCTGTTGAATCTATTCCTAGTGCACCCCCCACCTGTCCCTGCATGGACTGCACTGTTCTCCTGCCCTAGGCTGTGAATATATGTTGACTAATAAATTATTGCCAATCATAACTGTGTAGGCTGAGTGTAGGGTTTGTGTGTTCAGCCACTTCATGCCATTTAGTGGGGTGGCTTAGTCCATTTATGCTGCTTAACAAAATTCCACAAGCTGGGTAATTTATTTCTCAGTCATGAAATCTGAAAAGTCCAAGTTCAAGGCTCCAGCAGGATGAGTGTGTGGTGAGGGCTTTCTTGCCATGTCTTCACAGTGCAGAAGGGTCAGAAGGACAAAGAAAAGGGGAGGAAGTCTGTGTCTTCATATGGCAAAAGAGCAAGAGATGAGAACTCTTTCAGAAGCCTCTTTTTAAGGGCATTAATTCACTTATAAGGCTTAATCACTTTCTAAAACACCCAACCTCTAAATACCACCATAGTGGGGATTAAGTTTCAACATATGAATTTTGGGGGACATTCAGACCATAGCAGGTGGGGAGCCCTCCTTCACCACTGGGATGAATAAGTGATCCTAACAATATCAGAATTACTGATAAAGAACACAGAAGCTCAAGCTCATTGAAGTAGTGTAAGGTCTGAGTCTCTATATTTTTTGCCAAGTTCCCCAGGAGATTCTGATGTGATGGCAGTTCAAGAACCACTGCATTATTCTACACTGCCTCTCAAGGAGTCGATGGACTTGCCAAAGGGCACCCAGGAAGCCAGCGGCAGAGCTGGGCCTGGCACTCAGGCCTGGTTACCAGCTACCTGCTCCTCTCTAATATATGATGCCCCTAGAGCTCTCCCTAGGAGGAAAGAGCAGCACAATAACTGGTAAATGCCTCTGGAGGTAAATTCTCAGAGTGAAAAAGGAGGCTTTCCTTCAGACCAGTGTTGTCCAACAGAAACACAATGCAAGCTAGTTGTGTAATTTAAAATTTTCCCATAGCCACATTTAAGAAGATAAAATGAAGCAAATGAGCTTAATTTTAACAATATATTTCCTTTAACCCAATATATCGGAAATATTATCACTTTAACTTATAATCAATATAAAACATTATTGAGATAGTTTACGTTTTTTTTCATATTATGTCTTTGAAGTCTACTGTGTCTTCACTAACTAACCACATTTCGGAGGCTCAATAATCACATATAGTTAATGGCTACCATATTAGATAGCACAGGTTTAGACCTTTTCATCAAAGCAATATAGACCATATAATCAACCCCCAGGGACTCATTTAATTCAAAAGACAGAAAACTAGTGTTAGTTATAGGTTTAAACAATCCTTATCATAAACAATACATTTTTGATCAAATATATGATAGAGATGAAGTATCAAAAGTGGAAGGTGGGGAAGAAAAGAATACTTAAAATATACCTTTGCCCCTTCAGTAACTTGTTGCATTTTTCATGTTGCATAATCATCTATAGAAGATAATAGCCATCTTTAGTATGTAATAGAGGGCTGACTACGTGCCAGGCACTATTTCAAGTACTTTACATATCTTTTAATCTTGACAGAAACCTTAGGAGGTAGGTATTGATATTATCCCTACTTGGTAGGTAAGAAAACTGAGGCACAGAAAGATTAAGTAACTTGCCCAAGGTTACTGAGCATTAGAGTTAGGTTTCCATCCTAGCTGCTGAGGCTTGATTCTAACTCTGTGCCCCTTGCTGACTGTGCCACCAGGTCATTTGTTCAATTAACTTGTCTGTGCTTGTTTCTTCATCTTTAAAATGAGAATAAGAACAGGACTGTTGTGAAAAATAAATGAATGAATTTATGTAAAGCATTGGAAATTATTCAAGTCATAAGAAACACCCAAGAAATGTCAACTGTTCTCATCACCACTATTACAATGCAAATAAAAAAAAATTGAATCTTTTTTTTTTTTTTTTTTTTTTGAGACAGAGTCTTGCTTTGTTCCCCAGGCTACAGTGAGTGCCATGGAGTCAGCCTAGCTCACAGCAACCTCAAACTCCTGGGCTCAAGCAATCCTGCTGCCTCAGCCTCCCGAGTAGCTGGGACTACAGGCATGTGCCACCATGCCCAGCTAATTTTTTCTATATATATTAGTTGGCCAATTAATTTCTTTCTATTTATAGTAGAGACAGGGGTCTCGCTCTTGCTCAGGCTGGTTTCGAACTCCTGACTTCGAGCAATCGCCAACCTCGGCCTCTCAGAGTGCTAGGATTACAGGCGTGAGCCACTGCGCCCAGCCAAAACATTAAATCTTCCTGTAAGGGAATTTGTTCTAGATCATGACAAAATTATTCATAATTGTATATCAATTTTTGAACACTCTGAAAAAGATGATGGATTCTACAGCCCATCCAAAGTAAATGAGATAAAGGACAAGGAATATGGATAGTCTTCCTATTTTGTTCTCTAATCCCAAGCTGTAGTATCTTATTTCTAGCTGCCTGTCTGACAGCTACATGAATCATACTTACTCAACGAATAACTCCTCTTTGTCAACCTTTTGCTGGGCACTCTGAAAAGAATATGATGATGTCCATGACACAGAGGTCCCTGCAGTCTAATGAGAAAGAGATAAGAAACTAAGAGTTACATGTCGGTGGCAAGTATAACTTCAAAGGAGTAAAGAAAATCCATCATCTTTTTTTTCCTAACTGCAACTCTTTCTAGTTTTCTCACATTAGTATCATTCTCCTAGTTGCTAAGAGTGAAAACCTCAGAGTTACTGTTAATATCTTTTATGGGTTAAATTGTTTTTCCCCCATCCAAAGTTCATATGTTAAAGTCCTAACCCTCTAAATGTGACTGTATTTGGAGATAGGGCCGTTAAAGAGGTGATTAAGTTAACATACACAGGGACAGAAGGAACGCTTGCACACACACACACAGGAGAGAGGCCTCAGAAGAAACAAAACCTGCTGATACCTTGATCTTGGACTTCTACCTTGTGAAAAAATAAATTTCTGTTGTTTAAGCCACCTAGTCTGTGGTATTTTGTTACTGCAGCCATAGCAAAAGAACACAAACTCCCCTTCCTTAGCCTTCTTATATAAACGATTTATAATAATTAAATTTTAAGTCCTACTGACTCAATCTCTGGGTTTGCTTTAAAATATTCAAAGGAAAAAAATGTGCATGGGGAGGGGGAGAAGCAACAAAATTAGCAAGGATCAAAGCAGGGTGATTGTTACATAGGAGTTCATTATATTATACTTTGGGTATGTTTGGAAATTTCCATAGTAAAGAACTAAGGGTGTAAAGACCCATTATGAATAGTCTGACAACAATTTCATAAAACACAAATACATGTTAAAAGCTGCTAAACAGAAATGCATTATAATGCTAATATAATAATCTCTATCTTCATATTAAGGTAATTTGCAATTATATATATTTCTGTATTTTCTGAATTTTATAAATGAGCATGCATTTCTAAGAAAATTAACTATAAATATTGTTTTAAAATCAAGTTAAATGAGAATTATTTCAAAATTTTATAAAGAAATCCAAACTCATTAACCTTACTTTCAAAATCCTCTACAATAAAATTCCAACCTCCCTCCCCACTTGATCCCAAATGACTCCTCTGCAGCCAGTTTCCTATGGGTGAGTATTTATATGGCTTTCTTTTTCTATTTTATTTCCTAATTCCAATTTTAGGATTCCAAACTATGGGACCAAGGATATCCAAAGATATAAGGAACACAAGCCCTAGACACAAATCTCACTGTTCTTACTAGCACTCTCACATGGCACTGTGACGGAGCAAGTAACTTATGTTCTCTTTGTCTCCATTTCCGCATCTACAAAATAGGTGTACAGTACCCGCATCACAGGGCATTTGTGAAGGTTAAAGGTGTTAATATTTATAAAGCCGTTACAATGACACTTAGCACTCCATGTTTAACTATGATGATTATTATTCATGTTACATGTTTTCCCAATTATTCAACAATAGCCGAACATTTATGTAGCAGAAACGTTTGCTAATGAATGAAATACCTTCTTCCACTTGTAACAAGAAAGAAAGGTGACTGCTAAGTCCTGTAACAATGGGGCTCTGGTGCCAGGAGCCTAGACTTCACTCCCACTCTTTCTGCAGCATTCTTTCAGGAGTCAGGGCAGAGGAAAGGAAAGAGGCTGGAAGATCTTGTCTGTGGTTCTGGAAAATCCACACAGAGGATAGCCCCAGACTCCATCTGTGAATGACGCATTCTTTCTTGAAAAACAGATCAGAAGTAGCAGTCCAGGAACAGCCTCCTTTCCTGTAGAGAGCAGCAAGAAGAGCCAGTGGCACTTCGAAGAGCTTCCCGTGAAAGGCATAATTTTCAGGTCATTAGGATAGTAATAATATTAACAGCCAACACGTTGCCACATGCCTGCACTGCTCTCTAAATATTTTACGTGTACTGTACCACTAACTCCCAAAACAAATGTATAAGGTAGGAACTCGTTAATATTCCCTTTCACAGAAGAGGAAACTAAGTGCTTACCCAACATCGTATCGCTAGGAAGTGACAGAGCGTGTGGAAGGTGGGGAAGGCAGGTTGGGCAGGGGAGAGCCGGGGACACCCTCAGACTCTGCCCCATCAGGGTCCACCTCCAACCTGGGGACGCGCGAACCGCCCCAAGCGCAGAGGCTCCAGAGAGGGAAAGGTAAGCAGCCGCTCCGGCCCCTCAACCCCGCCTTCTGCCGCTGGCCGATGATTCTCTTCCCGGCGACCGACGTGCAGGCCCCGCCGACCCTACAACCAGGCCATAAAAGTTAAAAGAGATCGCGGGGTCGCGTGGCTCACTCACCTCAGAGGAACGGAGGCCTAGCTCACTACCTCCCGCAGCGGAAGTGCCTCGGACTACGGGAGCTCGGGAACTACATGTCCCAGAATGCCCAAGGCACACGAGGCCCGCGGCCCCACCTCTCTGGGGCGGAACTTCCGGCTGCAGCTCTCAGGGCCTGACTCGTATTTCCCAGAATCCCTGAAGAGAGTGGGCTTCACCTTCGAGTAGCAGAAATGCCACCAAACCGTCAGAGCACTGGATTATACATCCCTACTCCCCCAGCGGAGCAAGCTACAAAGCCACGCTTTCCTGGAGCGGAAGTGGCCCAACCACAGAAAGCGTCTGGACTTCACGTCCCAGAAACCTCTGTCAGGCTGAGCTTCCCGCCAGACTGCAATTTTGCTTTTGAATTAGCAGGTGGAGTCCAAGTGCTTATAGAACTCATCCTGCCTTTTTACCTTTTGCCATTGTTCCCTTTCACACGTGGCATAAGTTGGAAATATATATATATATATGAAAATTATAAAGGAATGGTATGCGTGACCTAAAAATAGAGATAATAAAAGCAACGGGCAGAGAGCAGCACTGAACAAGTCGCCTTTATAATATGGGTCTGGATTCACCTGTGACTAAGAACATGCAAAAAAAGGATTTGCAGCCATCACGCAGGACATGAAACCGACGCAGCAAAATTCTCCACTTTTCTTTCACTTTACTTTTATTGCATTCTCAGGGAATTGGAGAAAATACCGTATAATATAAGCCCTACCCTATTGTGAACTAAAATAAAATTTTTAGGCTCATCTCCCCCCACCCCCTTCACTGGCTGATTGAATGGACCCCCTCATGACCAAAGGAATATCCTAAAACTAAATTGTCTGCCAGGAGAAGGGAGGTCAGACTTGCCTCATCATGCCCCTCCCCTTTTTGGAGACATCTTTGTAACCCATTAACAGGCCTAAGGGTATTCAAGAGAAACCCACAGGTCCTTAATTTACACAACAAATCTATGCCTGTTGGCTTATCTCTGATAAACAGCTCCTTATGTCAAAACATTCCAAGCCTTTTTTTTTTTTTTTTTTTTTTTGAGACAGAGTCTCACTTTGTTGTCCAGGCTAGAGTGAGTGCCGTGGCGTCAGCCTAGCTCACAGCAACCTCAAACTCCTGGGCTCAAGCGATCCTCCTGCCTCAGCCTCCCGAGTAGCTGGGACTACAGGCATGAGCCACCATGCCCGGCTAATTTTTTATATATATATCAGTTGGCCAATTAATTTCTTTCTATTTATAGTAGAGACGGGGTCTCGCTCTTGCTCAGGCTGGTTTTGAACTCCTGACCTTGAGCAATCCGCCCGCCTCGCCTCCCAAGAGCTAGGATTACAGGCGTGAGCCACAGCGCCCGGCCAAAACATTCCAAGCCTTTAGACAAAGCTTACTGACTTTAACCAATTACAAACTAAAGAATCTTTAAACCCACCTATAACCTGCAAGCCCCCCCCTTCAAGATGGCTCACCTTTTTGGGCCAGACCAATGTATGCCTCCCACGTATTGATTTATAACTTTACCTATAACCCCTGTCTCCCAGAAATGTATAAAACCAAATTGCAACCCAGCCACATTGAGTCCACTTGTTCAAGGCTCCTTGGGCATGGCTCTGGGTCATGGTCCTCCAATTTGGCTCTGAATAAATCTCTTTAAAATTATTTTACAGAGTTTGGGTTTTTTCCCCATTGACACTATATAAAATCATTTAAAAATCTCTTCTTTGAGTTCAGATGAATCACCTACTTCCTATAAGGCTGGTGGCAAGCCCTCCCACCCTCCCTAGAGAAAAAAGAGAACAGGCTCACTAACCAGACCCACCAAAAATGACTGCCAGGCACCACCAGCCCCTCCTCCTGGAATCTGCAGGTACCCCTCCCATTTCTCAAGAACAGACAAAGACCACAGTGGAAAAAACCCAGCCCACCGGCCAAAAGACCCTAGCTCCCTCAACAGTATAAAAGCTCACACCCCTTTCAAGCAGATGCAACTTCTGGGGGAGGGGGGGGCCTTGAGACCCAAGAACCTCATCTGGGAGCACATAATAAAGCCACGTTGTTTGACCCTACTCTCTGCCTGTTTCTTTCACCTCCGAAAACCTTACACTTCCTACTGTTATAATCTGGAATCCGTAAAGTTATCTTATGAATCGACAAATCAGTTGAAACTAGGATATGTGTGATTATTCAGAAAGGGGGGGGGGGGTGAAGTGAGGGCTCAACTCATGAAACTAGCAAAAAACCCCAGAAAGCTATGCTATCCACTTTTCTCCAAGGTAGAAACCAAATACTTTTCCAACTTTATTATGAAAATGTGAAAGAAGAAAAAAAGGAAGTTAACTACAAAGGAGGAGCTGTAAATATTTAAGCAATGTTCAGCTGAGGCTGCTTCAAATTCAGGATACTCCCTCTAAATTAAAGAGAAATTACATGTGTTTTTTTAAGTCAATGTCTTAATGAGAGGAATCAGTCTAAGGAATCATGATTCCCTACTTAAATATTACCCTTCCTCTCAAAACAAAAACAGGTCAAAAGGTATACAACTAAAGACTAAGGGTGAAAGGAGAAGTAGACTCCGTAGCATAGACTGAAACCCAGCTCCAAATAATCCCTGAAATTGTATTAAGGTGATCCTGTATTGCTAATTGTCTCAGAAATCTGGCTGAAGAAAATTAAAATCTCAGTAGACAAAGCTAATATTATCTCAGGCCACAATGTACTTCCATAATTTTTGAAAAACGTTAAGAATATTGTACAAAGAAAGTCAGCTTTAGATTTTAAAAAGTAATACTTTAGATATGCAGGGACACTTCAAAATGATTTTAAAAATTTATTTCTTGATGAATGGAACACAAATGTAATTTGTATGCACCTAAAAAAAAAATCCTCAAATATTCTAAGCAAAATCAGAATTATAAAGAAAAACGGACACAGCAAAGTGGGGAATTGTCAACACATCTCTCTAACAGAACAAAGAAGAGCAAAAATATCAGTAAGTATTTGGAAGATTTGACCTATTAGAAACTAGAATAAGTATTATATACATAATGCTACACCCAGCAACTGTTAAATGTGTATATTTTCAAGAACACATGGAATGCTTACAAAAACTGAGCACATACTGGGCCAAAAAAGCAATAACAACATATCTCAAAGAACTAAAATAATAAACAGGAGATTTTCTGGTTATAATGTAATTAAGCTCAAATTAATAACGAAATGGCAACTAGATATATCCATCATGTTTAGATATTAAGGAATTCTCTTTTAAAAATCATAAGGCAAGAAAAGATCCCAATGGAAACTAAAATACATTTTAAACCAAATGATAATAAATATAGTACATATCAAAACTTATAGGATGCAGTGAAAGTCAACTTTCAAGGGCTAAAAAATCATAAGGCAATAATCTAATTTAAGAGGTTAGAAAAAGCAAATTAAAGAACAATATTTTTAAAAGAGCAAATAAATGGAATAGAAAAAAATCATGAAGAGAAGATTGAAATGTTCTTTGAAAAGAAAAGAAAATTATTAAAGCCCAGATGATGCTGACCAAGAATGCAAAGTAATCTCAAATTACAAATTAGAAAATGAAAAATTGGACATCACTACAAAATTTCAGATATTAAACATATTATCAACAACTTATACCAGTGAAATTGAAGATTTATGTGAAATGGATACATTTCTGGAGATTTGACACAAGTAGAAAATATGAGTAGATCTAGAACTATTTAAAAATTGAATTTATAAATAAAAACCCTCGAGGGAGGGCAAAAAAATAAATAAATAAATAAATAAAAATAAAAACCCTCATAAAAAGAAATCTGAGTCCATATAACATTACCATGAATTCTAGCATATATTTAGAAATTCTATCAGAAGAAAAATAGGAAACATTCTCTAATTTATTTGATGAAGTTAACATAACCTTAATACCAAATCTGATAAAAACTTTAGGACAAAGAAAAATGACAAGCTGAAGGGTTGTCATTAATATATATGCATAAATCTGAAATAAAATTTTAAAAAACTAAATATAACAACATGTAAAAAGGATAATATTGTCAAGTTGAGTTTATTCTAAGAATGCAATCAATATATACTCCATTAACAAAATACAACATCTACAGAGATGCAAAAAATTTGTTTCATAAAATGATATATATTCATAATAAAAAAGACATCAAAGTCATAACGGATCTTTTAAAAAGCATAGCAGATATTACTGGTGAAATGTTGAAAGCTTTCTGAGATTAGAATGAATCAGAGAAGCAGACTCTCAGCCCTTCTCTTCAACATTGTACTGGCCTTTTATCTAACACTTATTAATTCTAATAATTTGTTTTTGTTTTTGTTTTTAGACAGAATCTCACTCTGTTGCCTGGGCTAGAGTGTCATGGCGTCAGCCTAGCTCACAGTAACCTCAAACTCCTGGGCTCAAGAGATCCTTCTGCCTCAGCCTCCCAAGTAGCTCGGACTACAGGCATGTGTCACCATGCCCGGCTAATTTTTTCTATATATTTTGAGTTGGACAATTAATTTCTTTCTATTTTTTAGTAGATACGGGGTCTCGCTTTTGCTCAGGCTGGTACTGAAGTACTGACCTTGAGCGATCCACCCACCTCGGCCTCCCAGAGTGCTAGGATTACAGGTGTGAGCCACCAAGCCGGTCCTAATAATTTGTTAATAGATCTTCTGAATTTTTGTTGCTGGCAAATTTCCAGGAACGGGAACATGTAGAACAGTGGAGAAAAGGCAAACATTTTCATAAATGATGCTGAATTAATTTGTTAACCATAAGGAAAAAATGAAACATCTACCTCATGGTGTACGGCACATACAAATCAATTGCTTGTGGATGGTAGATGTAAATGTAGACAGAAAAACAAATAAATCTCCTAGAGAACAGAAAAGGAGCATAGCTTGATGATTTAGGGTTGGGGAAATGTTTCATAAACAGTATGCAAACCACTAACAGTATGCAAACTGTATTGCAAAACAATATGCAAACCACTAACCATAAAGGAAACAACTGATATACAAACCACTAATCATAAGGAAAAATTAGAAAAATTAGACAATAAAATAAATAAATGAAATGGAACCCACAGATCTACATATAGTCATTCAGCTAATTTATGCTAAAAATGACACTGAAATGCAGTGGGGAAAGGTTAGTTTTTTAAATAAATGGTGCAGGACCCATTGGAATGAGCCTGGGTACCTAGAACCACCACACCAATGCCTAGATTACCTATATCTAGGCTTCTTCAATGTGAAATAGAAATACATGATGTATTTTATTTAAGTCACTATTAGTGGAAGTCTATGTGACTAGGAGTTAAACTCATTTAGGGTATACAATATTTTTAGCATAGTCACAGGGCTATGCAACCATCACCAAAATGTAATTCTGGAACATTCTCGTTCCCTCTAAAAGAAACCCCATACTCATTATCTCTCTCCTCATCACTCCCAACCACCCAACCACAGTGGTAAATAACCACTGATCTATTTACTGCTCCTATAGATTTGCATATGCTAGATGTTTCATAGAAATGGAACCATACAATACGTAGTCTTTTCCGACTGGTTTCTTTTATTTAGCATAATGTTTTCAGGGTTCATCCTTGTTGTATGTAGCATGTATCAATATTTTGCTTCTTTTTAGTGTTGAATAATATTCCATTGTAATGTTCCCCATCAGCTGATGCACATTTGTGTTGTTTCTACCTTTTGAATATTATGAATAATGCTGTTCTGAACATTCATATGTAAGTTTTGTGTAGACATAACGTTTTCATTTCTTTTGGGTATATACCTGGAAGCAAAACTTACAGGTCATATGGTAATTCTATTTTAACTTTTGAGAACTGCCAAACTTTTCCATGATGTCTGCAAGGTTTTACATTCCCACCAGCAATGTATGAGGTTTACAATTTCCCTACATCTTCACTCACGCTTATTATCTGTTTTTTTTATTATCTCTTGAGTGTGAAGTGAAATCACATCATGGTTTAGATTTGTATTTCCATAATGACTAAAGATGTTGAGCATTATTTCATGTCCATTTGTATTTTCTTTGGAGAAACGTCCTTTCAAAGATATTGATTAGTTTTAAATTGGGGTGTCCTTTTTAATTAATATAATTTAATTGTATATTAAATTGTTACGTATTCTTGGAGAATTGATCTCTTTAATATTATTCAATGTTCCTCTTTATCCCTGATAATCATCCTTTTTCTGAAGTTTGTTTTCTCTGAAACTGATACAGCTACTTCAGTTTTCTTTTTGTTAGTGTTGGCATATAACACTAATAACATCTACTATAGTGTTATAATAGATGTTTAATATCTATTATAATAGATGTTTAATATCTATATCTTTATCCCTTTCATGTATCTATGTCTTTATGTTTAAAGTGGGTTTCTTATAGACAACATATAGTTGGGTCTTTTTAAAAAATCCATTCTGACAATCTCTCTTTTAATGGGTATATTAGACCATTCATATTTTAATTGGTTGTTGATATGGCTGGGTTAATATCTATTATGTTTATAACTCTTTCCTACTCACTGTAGTTGTTCTATTTCTTCTTTTTCTGCTTTCTCTGATCTTAATTGAGCATTTTATAAAATTCTATTTTCCTCCTAACTTAGCACAGCAATTATACTTATTAAAAAATTTTTAGTGTTTCCCCTAGAGTTTGCAATATACATTTACAACTAATTTAAGTCTATATTACAATGCTTCATGGGTAGTGCAGATACCTTAGTGTATTCCCAATTCCTTTCTTTTGTCCTGTTACAACATTGCTATCATTCATGTCACTTTTTCATATGCTATAATCACCCAATATGTTGTTGTTATTTCTCTGAACAAACAGTTGTCTATAAATCAGTAAGAATGAGAAAAATAAAAGTTTTTATCTTTATTTATTCCTTCTCTGGTAGTTTTCTTTTTTTCATGTAAATGTGAGTTTCTGATGTATATAATTTTATTTCTCTATGAAGAACTTCTTTAACATTTTTTGCAAGGCAGGTTCACTGGCAACAAATTCCCTCTGTTTTTGCTTGTCTGAGAAAGTCTTTATTTCTCCTTCACTTTTGAGGGATAATTTTACTGAATATAGGATTCTAGGTTGGTGGGGGTTTTTTCTTTGAATATTTCAAATATTTCACTTCACTCTCTTCTTCACATGTTTTCTGAGAAGTTTGATATAAATTTTATCCTTGCTTCTCTCTAAATAAGTTGTTCTTCTTTTCCAAGTTTCTTTGGCTATTTTGGGTCCCTTGCATTTCCATATGAATTTTGGGATCAGCTGGTCAATTTCTGGGGGAAAAAAAGCCAGCTAGCATATCCATAGGGATTGCACTGAAATCAATTTCAGGAGTACTGCCATCTTAACAATTTTAAGTCTTTCCATCCAGGAGCAAGAGACGTCTTTCCTTTTATTTAGGTTTTCTTTAATTTCTTTCAATGATGACTATTATATTAAGTTTCATTGACCTGAATATTTTCTTTAACCTTAAAGTTCATTTTTCTTCTCATTTAAAAAAGACGTTCAAGCATTTCTGTGGGCCCTTGGCACTTTGAATAAAAAGGTCCTGCTAGGGTATATCTTGAGCAACTCAGCCAGATTTGCATTTTAAGTAGAGAAAGGCAATCAGGTACAGAAAGTTTCAGGGGAGGGGTTGGGGTGAGGGAAGAGTCTAGGCTTAATAAATTTACCTAATCTCAAAATCTGAAACACAAATCACTTCACATCCAAAGTAACACACTTAGAAACAAATCATAGGCAGGTATACAAATCCCATACATGGTTACAAGCCACAATGTCACAGAGTGAAAACACAACACCCAGGAACTCTTTTTCTTTTTTTTTCCCCTGAGACAGAGTCTAACTCTGCCGCCAGGGCCAGAGTGCAGTTACCTGATCATGGCTCACTGCAACCACAAACTCCTGGGCTCACGCAATACTCCTGCCTCAGCCTCTCTAGTAGCTGGGACTACAGGCGCAAGCCACCAAGCCCTACTAATGTTTTCTATTTTTTGTAGCGGTGGGGTCTTGTTACGTTGCTCAGGCTGGTCTTCAACTCCTGGCCTCCAAGGATCCTCCCGCCTCGACCTCCCAAAGTGCTAAGATTACAAGCGTGAGTAACTGCGTCCCGCCCCACACATTCTTTAAAGCCAATGCACACTTTACGCCTGTTGTGCTCCTGGAGCTACACCAGGCGCTGGCACTACCTCAGGGGGTGAGCAGGGCAGCGAAAAACGAAAGCTCCAGTCCTCACAGAGCTCGCGCCTAGGGTACCATTCGCCGGCAGTACTCTAAAGCCCGCACGCAAGTTTGAGATTTAGGAGACCGCATGGCTTTCCTCTGCCTTCTCGAGCGGACGCTAATTCCACTCACCTCCAATCACGCAGGCCGACGTGAAATCACGGTCCCCCAAAGGTAGGGTGGACCATCTGCGCGCGCGGCCGCGCTCCTGCTCACGCGCACTCCGAGCACGGGCTGCAAAACCGCGGCCATGATTATTCCGGGTGGACTACATTTCCCAGAAGCCACCGGGCTTGGATCCTCCTCAAGCTCTAGGTCCTATTCTGGTGTCCGAGCGGCTACGGTCCCTACGTGGTGAGTAGATCTCGTCCGAAGAGAACAGTCAGCTGAGGCTTCCACAGTTCCTGAGCAGAATGAAACTGATGGTGGAAGTGAAACGAGCGGAAGGCGAGAAGGCCCAGGGCGCGAACTAGGGACGTGTCATGCCTGGAGTCTCAGGCCTGTGTTAACGTGAGCAGCGGAGATGCCAAGTGTGCTTGTGAGAGGCTGTGTGTGTGTGAGTGAGTGAGTGAGTGAGTGAGTGTGTGTGTGTGTGTGTGTGAGTGTGAGAGAGAGAGAGAGAGAGAGAGAGAGAGAGAGAGAGAAAAGGGAGGGGAGGGGAGGGGAGGGGAGGATAGGATGTCTCATGACAGTGTGTGCATTTGTGCATCAATAATGGTCCTTGATTGTACTTATTTGACTGAATGATTGGATGCGTAACTCATGGGTAAGCCAAGGTTGTGTAGCAGTGTGAGTTGTCACTGTGACCCAAGCTTTTATATAATTTGCATCATCAGAATGAGAAATAAGCCAGAGTGGGGTGTCTAATGTGGCTTGGGTGCAGGAGTGCCTTCGCTCTATATCCATGCTTGTGCAGCTTGTTTCCCTGAGTATAGGGAAAGGCCTGGATTTGTCTGCACTTCTCACATCCCCTGACTGTGTTTATGTGTTTGGGATGGTGGGGAGTGGATAGGGACAGCAAGAAGTGGGAATAAAGAAGGAGGACAGAGAATATCTTAAATCATTTTTAGAATTCTGAGATATACCAGGTCTCAAGGCCTCTATTTCCTCTCCCAGCTTTGGCTTTTCTGAACTCTGCTTCTGTAGTAGAGGAAACCTGAGAAGGACTGGCATTTCTAAACCCATGGCCCAGGTAAGCTGATGTTTCTTTATCCTTCCCAAAATATTATGATTTTTAATCATGTAATATTTTCATTCTTGATCCTGAAAACCTCCTACCTAAGAAAGCTGTCTCTCTGAATCTATTTCATAGTTCCTCCCATTACAGCAAAGGATGATGTCCTCCTTGTTTGCTCCCTGTTTTTGAACTGACTTTCACTTACTTGTCAAATAATTCATCCATGTTCTACATGTTCAGTCTTCTCTCAGGAGCAGTGTTGGCGCCGTGAAAGAGTGAAGTACCTTGAAATACTTGAGCTGATCTTGTCAGGTTCATGGTTTCATGATACAGAAATGATTGTCCTGTTTGACCACAGGAAGGAAAACTTTCTCCACAGCTTTCCAGGTAGATAAGGGAAAACTTGTTTGGGTCTTGGTTTGAGGTGAGATCTCAGCTTTGAAAAGCTTTTGAGTTTGGGCAGAGATGGGATTGGAATCTACCTAGAGAGAGATCAAAGATCTAGCTAAGGAATCGCTGAAAAATGAATAAGGTACCCAAGTCTACTTTGTAATGGAAGAAAAATTGCTGATCTTGAAGGCATCAATGTTGTCCTGGATTATTCTGCTTTAGAGTGTTCTAACTCAGGAACAGACCAGTAAGAGATTATAGATTATAGAAAGGAAGATCAACTAGAACTAGATGATATGGAACTATGGGAAAAAAGTTGGGATTTGTGTCCAACATAAATATTAACATAATACTTTATATATTGTTATTATTAATAATACACTAGTACCTTAAGAAAGATTAAATCTAATAAGAAGGACTAAATGGAAACATTAATTTGTCAGAATAAGGGAAATGCTTATGACATAATCTGACATATAATAAGCTTGTGTCGACTTAATTTTATATAAACTCAATTTTCTAAGAAAGAGACTTTATCAGCTTTTTTGGGGTATAATTGACATATAATTAAGTGTATTATTTTGTCTTTTTAGAGCAGCTTTATTGAGCTGTAATTGACAGACAAACTGCTATATTTAAAGTGTAGCATTTGATAACGTTTGACATATGTATACACCTGGAAACCATCATCACAGTCAAGATAATGAAAAAATCCATCATTCCAAAAGTTTTCCTATACCTTTATTAATATATTCATGAGCAATATTGGTCTGTAGTTTTCTTTTCCTGCATTGTCTTTAGGTGGTTTTCCTATGAGGATAATACTCAGTCCACTGGACTTTGCTTAGGTTCCCTGTTCCTGTCCCTGTGCCACAGCCTGGAAACTGTCTCCTTGCAGTAAGCCAGGGCAATCATAGGTTTATCTCATATTTACTCATCTTTCAGGGGTTACAGTTTTCCATTGCCCAACGTTTTCTGTCTTAAAAACCATTGTTTAGGCTCGGTGTGGTGGCTCACACTTGTAATCCTAGCACTCTGGGAGGCCCACGCGGGTGGATCGCTCAAGGTCAGGAGTTCAAAACCAGCCTCAGCAAGAGTGAGACCCCGTCTCTACTAAAAATAGAAAGAAATTAATTGGCCAACTAAAAATACATAGAAAAAATTAGCCGATTGGGGAATGATAGTGGATCATTTAAAAAGAAAAAAAATAATAATTAAAAAAAAATTAGCCAGGCATGGTGGCACATGCCTGTAGTCCCAGCTGCTCGGGAGGCTGAGGCAGTAGGATTGCTTGAGCCCAGGAGTTTGAGGTTGCTGTGAGCTAGGCTGACACAACAGCACTCTAGCCAGGGCAACAGAGTAAGACTCTGCGTCAAAACAAACAAACAAACAAACAAAAAACCCATTGTCTATTTTGTCCAGGTTTTCACTTATTTCATACAGGAGAGTAAATTCTCAATCCCTAGTTATTCCATCTTATCCAAAAGAGATTTTACATTACATTACATTACAGGGGAGGGAATTTTACCAATTCTTCTTCTTTTTTTTTTTTTTTACATATTCCTTGAAGAAAAAAGATGTAAGAACTTGTATTCATTAATAATCTGTGGTTTAGATACATACAAGATAATGAGCTTGTGTGTACTATTTCATCTAATTAGAAAAACCTGATTACTTTGTTCATTTTAATACATTTTGATTTGTTTCTATGTCACTAAGGAAATTTTCTGTGTTCCAACAGGATTCTTCAAGATTGTGAAGATACTCTACCTAAGATATGCTAATTTATCTACTCTCATCTGACCATGTCATGATCTCATAACTTCACACTGTTCATTTTTATATATTGCCTTTTTATTGCAATTCAGTATTCCATCTTGAAAAAGTTTTCTTAACTTTTACAAATAGTACATGGTTTTGTCATTTCAGGAGCCATTGACATTCAGTGATGTTGCCATAGACTTCTCTCAGGAAGAGTGGGAATGTCTAAACTCAGATCAAAGGGACTTGTACAGAGATGTGATGTTGGAGAATTATACTAACTTGGTCTCATTGGGTAAGGCCACATGCACAAAATGATGTAGAATCTGCTCTCAAGATCATCAGCCTTCTTCACTGTGTATTTTATGTTCTATGACAAGAAACCACTTAATTTTCTGTTCCACGTTCTCAAAGGATTGGTTTGAGGTTTGTTAGATGGAAATTGACACCTCTGTTTAACATCTGAATCTTCCTTGTTCTTCATTTGCCTTCCTGCTTCCCTCTGTCCTGTAATTGCTCCTTTTCCTAAATAACTATTAGTTTGAATTCTGGGACTTTTTCTGCATAACCACTGTCAAAGAAAACAAACTATATATTGTGTATATTCAGAATATTCTGTAAATACTCTATTTTAATTGCTGAATCACCTACATGGGGAACAGGTAATAAAGGGTCCTGGTTTTCCCTTTACTACAAAAGAATCTCTATAATTTTATAGTGGTAGAATGATTCAAGGTCATTACCTTTTGAGTATTATTTTTGTAGTTGTAGCAATAGGAATGTTGGCTTGTAGTGATCTGATAGATTATACCCAGAAGTGAAAGGCTCTGTCCAGTTTTGGGAAAATACTTGACCATTCTCTCCTTTGGACCTCTAGTTATACCTATGTTAGATCCCTTCAGCATATCTTAGAATTTTATCATGTGTTTATCTTCTTTTCCCCCTCTATTTCTCCTCTACTTTATTCTGTGCTGGAGTTTGAATATTTTCCATTGACCTGTATTCCAGCTCACTTATCCCATACTCTGCTGTGATGAGTCTCCTCTTAAAGAGGGGTTTTGCATATCAGATAATGTCTTTTTAATTTCTAGAAATTAAATTTGGTTCTCTTTCATGGATTCTAATTATGTGTTGAAATTCTTTACTCTTTTATTTACTTTTTCATCTGTTCTCTTAAACATTTTAGTCATAGCTATTTTAGAATTCTTATGTGCTTTCATTTTTTGTATTCTCTGCAGGTTTGCTTGTATTATTTCTTTTTTCCCCTCTTGTTATTTGTCATATGGTAATGCCTCTACAATTTACTATTCATTGTGATTGTATGCTGAACTGAAGAGGTTCCAGATGATAATGTCTTCCACCAAAGAATATTTACATTTTCCTCTATTAGTCATTAAGATGGCAAGCTTGTTACTTTAATACCATCAGGTTAAGCTGAGTAGTCAGTGCTGGCTTTCTTTTGGTAATACTCAGCTACCTCTTTGTTATTACTTTTCCTTTACCTCTAGCTGTACTCAGAAATCAGTAAGTTTCTCCAGGGGAAAAGTGGTTAGAGATCCTCAGGACCAATTCTCCATTCCTTTAATTGCTTACCTGTTATTATTTATCTCTTTGGATTTCAAGATTCTTCCCCTGATGGATCTTTTGTTTCCAGAAGAAATGCTGAAAATTAATTAATGTTAATCCATTAATTTTTCCATCTACTTGATAAATTAGGAAAAGAAGAGCAGGATAGACTTAAAGCAGAAGAAAGGAAATAACAAAGGGAGGAACCGAAATTAATTAAATTAAAAAACAAACATGCAAAAGAGCAAGTCACAAAAAATTGGTGCAACTCTCAAAGTGAATCAAGAAAAAAAATCTATGTAAGGAAAAAAAGGAAACGTCTTTATAGACCATGAAGCTTTGAAAATATAATGATATTTCAGAAAGCATTATGCCAAAATTTTGACAAATCAAATGATAAATTTATTAGGAAATTTTAATTGATAAAAATATACACTCAAGAAAATAAAATTAGAACAGCTGAATAGTCTCATAAGTACTAAAGAAACTGAATCAGTCATCATTATCTTCCTGCAAATTAGAAGATTCAGGCACAGATGGTTTTTCATAAAAGTCTAAGTGCAAGAATTTGAATGTGTAAGAATTTTGGGAATATTTTTCCTGTGAGCTCTTTTGCATGTTGAGTCTAACAAAGAATAAACTACAGAAAAGTAAAAGATAAGTAGAAAATTAACCATCTTCTTGAACATGTGGAGAATATTTATAATAGCTCATTTAATATCCTTGTCTACTATCCTTGTCTGTTATCCGTATCATCCCTTGGTCTTTTCCTTCTTATTGATATTTCTGCTAGTAATGGGTCATATTTTCCTCCTTTTTTGCATTCCTGATCATTTTTATTAGATACTAGACAGTGTAAAGTTTACTTTGTTGGGATGCTGGATTTTTAATATTCTCTTGCATATTTTGGGGCTTTGTTTTGGAATGTAGTCATGTAATTTGGAACCTATTTGACCCTTTTTTGCTTTGCTTTTAAGCTCTGTTAGGGTGGATCCAGAATAGCTTTTAGACTAGAGCTAATTTGGCTCCACTACTGAGGCAGTACCCTCTGGGGACTCTATTTGATGCCTCATGGGTTGCAGGGTCTTTCTACTCTGGCTGGTGGAAAAAGGAACTACATCCTGCCCTTCTTGACCTTCAAGTATTATTCTGCCCACTCCTATCTGGTGGTGCTTTCCTTAGCCTCATTCGTTTTCTCACAAGCATGTGAAGATCAATACTCTAGCTAAAGTCTCAAGGGGATCCCTTTAAAGATCTGTAGAGCTCTCTCTGTGTGTAGCCCCCTCATCTCTGGGACTATGCCTTGCAAATTCTGTATGCCTTACTCTCCCTGAACTCTGTGTTCTGTCTCCTGTGCTCAGAGATACCGCTGGGCTCTACTTTGGTTCACCTTCCCTGTGCTTTGTTTTGAAAATTCTCTGGGCAGTGCGTTGTAGCCCTTATTGGGCTTACTTCATTTGTTCCCCTATTCTGTACTCTCTGCTGCCCAGCATCTGAAAGCTGTTGTTTCCTGTGTTTGTTTGTGTTTAGTTATTTAAAGTAGAAGGGAAAATCTGATCCCTTGTAATTTTTCATAACTGGAAGCACACATTACTGACTCTCTTTTATTTTTGAAAGCTTCTTTGCATTTTAGTACAAGAAGTTCCCGGACTCAACCCTGTATCTTCCCTCCATAGACTAGGAAGTAGCTACTTCTCCAAGGCACCCTGGTTCAGATGAGTGGGAAATAGGATATAGGGAATGGAACCTGGCCACCAGGGAAGCTAATTGTGACTGGCTTTTTGTGGGGAAAAATATTTAAAAATATTTTTCTATTTCTTCTGTGGAAATTGGTCTGTTTAGATCTTCCATCTCTTCTAGAGTCTGTCTGTTGTTATTATTGTTTCCCTTTTTATTTTAAAATAATTTTAGAGTTACAGAAGAGTTACAAATGTGGTAGAAAGGGTTTCTGTAATAATATCTTACATAACCATGATACATTTATGAAATCTAATGAGGCAACATTGTTACAATACTATTTAGTTAACTAAACTATAGGTATTATTCAGGTTTCACAAGTTTTTCCAATAATGTCTTTTTTTCTGTTCCAGGATCGAATCCAGGTTATCCAATTGCATTTAGCCATCGTGCGTTATTAGTTTCCTCTAATCTGTGGCAGTTTCTCAGTTTTTCCTTGTCCTTCATGGCCTTGACACTTTTGAAGTGTATTGGTCAGGTATTTTGCAGAGTGCCCCACAATTTGGGTTTATTGAATTTTTTTTAAGATTAAACTTAGATTATGGGATTCGGAGAAGAATACCAGAGAAGTACCTTTCTCAGCATATCATATCAGAGGTCTGTGATATCAACCTGATTTATCACTAGAGTATTAACTTTGTAAACTTCTTTTTTTTTTTTTTTTGAGACAGAGTCTCACTTTGTTGCCCAGGCTAGAGTGAGTGCTGTGGCGTCAGCCTAGCTCACAGCAACCTCAAACTCTTGGGCCCAAGGGATCCTACTGCCTCAGCCTCCTGAGTAGCTGGGACTACAGGCATGCACCACCATGCCCAGCTAATTTTTTCTATATATATATTAGTTGGCCAATTAATTTCTTTCTATTTATAATAGAGACAGGGGACTCACTCTTGCTCAGGCTGGTTTCAAACTCCTAACCTCGAGCAATCCGCCCACCTCGGCCTCCCAGAGTGCTAGGATTACATACGTGAACCACCACGCCTGACCCTTGTAAACTTCTTTAAGGTGATGTCTGTCAGTTTTCTCCACCGTAAAGTTATAATATTATCTTTCCCTTTACATATTCTGTTTGCTAAAAGCAAATTAGTAAAACTAGTTGGTGTCAGTTTTGATACGTTTTATTTTCAGGGCCAGATTTAGTGGCTCATGCCTAAAATCCAAGTATTTTGGGAGACTGAGGCAGTAGGATTGCTTGAGGCCAGGAGTTCAAGACCAGCCTGGGCAATATAGTAAGGTTCTGTCTCTACAAAAAGAAATTTAAGGCTGGGCGCAGTGGCTCACGCCTGTAATCCTAGCACTCTGGGAGGCCAAGGTGGGCAGATTGCTCGAGGTCAGGAGTTTGAAACCAACCTGAGCAAGAGCGAGACCCGTCTCTACTATAAATAGAAAGAAGTTAATTGGCCAACTAATATATATTAAAAAAAATTAGCTGGGCATGGTGATGCATGCCTGTAGTCCCAGCTACTTGGGAGACTGAGGCAGAAGGATCGCTTGAGCCCAGGAGTTTGAGGTTGCTATGAGTTATGCTAATGCCAAAGCACTCACTCTAGCATGGGCAACAAAGTGAGACTCTGTTTCAAAAAAAGAACAAACAAACTTAAAAGATAAATTAGCCACATGGTGGCATGCATCTGTAGTCCTAGTTACTTGGGAGGCTGATGCAGAAGGATCTCTTGAGCCCAGAAGTTCAAGGTTGTAGTGAGCTATGATTGTGCTACTGTACTCCAGCCCGGGTGAAAGAGTAAGTCCCTGTCTCAAAAAAAAAAAAAAAAATCATATTTTCAGAAATATTTGTCATTCTATGTACATTTCAAATATATTGGCATACTTGTATGATTTTTTTTAAGATTCTTTGTTTCTTTATTAATAGCTATTTCCCCCTTGTTGTTATATTTGGATTTTCCCCCCTTTTTTTCTTGAATAGGTAGGCTAGTGGTTTGTATGTGTTAATTCTACTGTCTTATTTAAACTTTGTTTTTATTGTATTAATTTTCATTTTCTGTGGTCCATCAATTTACTTTATCATTCTTTTCCTAATTTTTAAATGGAATGCTTAATTTATTTAATTCTTCTACTTTTAATTAAATATAAGCATTTTAGTATTTCGGTTTGCCTCTGTGCCCTAGAGTTGAAGCCATAGATTCTAGCGTGTAGTTATATTCATTATCACTGTTTTCAAGAATTTCTGCAGTCTCAGTTTGTATTTTCTCATTGACCTAACATTAGTTATTGAGTGCTTTTTATTTATAAATAGAAAGCATTTTGGTTTTTTGAGATAATTACTTCTCATTTATTACATTGGTTCAGAGAACACTATTTATATTATTTCAACACTAAAACATATTCTTTATTCATAGAAGAATTCCATTTGTCTTCAACTCATACTTGACTCATGTAGCACATTAGATTTCTTTAGGCTGGTCCCCCATCCATATAGGCAGTCTTCAGCCTACATTCAACATAGCCTTTGATTTAATTTTTTTTTTTTTTTTTTTTTTTTTGAGATAGAGTCTCACTTTCTTGCCTGGGCTGCAGTGCCATGGTGTCAGCCTAGCTCACAGCAACCTCAAACTCCTGGGCTCAAGCAATCCTCCTGCCTCAGCCTCCTGAGTAGCTGGGACTACAGGCATGTGCCACCATGCCCTGCTAATTTTTTATATATATGTTTTTAGTTTTCCAATTAATTTCTTTTTATTTATAGTAGAGATGGGGTCTCGCTCTTGCTCAGGCTGGTTTCGAACTCCTAATCTTGTGCGATCAGCCCGCCTCAGCCTCCCAGAGTGCTAGGATTACAGGCGTGAGCCACCACACCCAGCCTCAACATATCCTTTGTTGTGGAGTCCTAGGCACTCAATTTCTTAGGCTCTTTCTCCATATTATCTAGTGACTCTATTTTTCCAGTATCCCTAAGTTTATTTGCTTAGACTTTGATAAGCCTTTCGATATAATATTCATTAATACAATTCCTGAAAAATTATTGATATGTATTTCTGCAAAATTCAAGAATGATTAACCTTGGCTGTAAAGGAATAAAATTGAGAATTTTGGAAAGGCATTAAAGAAACAAAACAGGTTGAATATTGGTAGGATGGATAAATAATATTAAAGCATTACCAGAGAAGATAATACCACATCTAATTACCTTGATTGAGATAGAAACAGAAAAGCAACCGTAGCTATACAAAAGAAGGATTGAACAATAGGAATAGAGGTATGTATATTTTTAAGGGGACAGGCAATTGGAGAATCATCAGATATCAACCTTTTACATTTACATGCTTGATTGAGCTAGTTTGGAAGTGCATTTTTCTCATCTGTAAAGTAAATGTAAGGTAAGTGGTTACTATAATAAAGTGTAAGAGATTGGAGTCAGGGAGAGATAGTTGATAACTGTTGCATAATTTTCAGAAACAAAGTGGTTATTTTACTCAGCTCTCTTCCCTAATGGCCTGTATTTTCATCTGTGTTATGTTTTTTTTTTTTTTTTTTTTTTTTTGAGACAGAGTCTCACTTGTTGCCCAGGCTAGAGTGAGTGCCGTGGCGTCAGCCTAGCTCACAGCAACCTCAAACTCCTGGGCTCAAGCAATCCTGCTGCCTCAGCCTCCCGAGTAGCTGGGACTACAGGCATGCGCCACCATGCCCGGATAATTTTTTCTATATATATTAGTTGGCCAATTAATTTCTTTCTATTTATAGTAGAGACGAGGTCTCGCTCTTGCTCAGGCTGGTTTTGAACTCCTGACCTTGAGCAATCCGCCCGTCTCGGCCTCCCAGAGAGCTAGGATTACAGGCGTGAGCCACCGCGCCCGGCCTGTGTTATGTTTTTTAACTCAATATTTTATTCTAAAATTATTTAATACTCCCCATATGGTAGGGACTTGTTTTACAGGGATAGTTGAAAGAAGATTTGCATCTATACTTGTCTTTTGAGTAACAAAAAAGTAGTAAAACAAATGAGATTTAATAAATATGTAATTGAGAAAAGTAGTATAAAGGCAAAGAATTGGTTTTTGGAATGCAGAATAAAAGCTATGAGTTCACATGGACTCAGCACAAACAGACAGCCTTTCTGGGGAAGTGATTTTTAACCTTCGGTGTCTGAAGATGATCATTTAAAGGAGTCACCTACAAGGATTCCTGAAAGGTGGAGCATCTGCATGAAGCCCAAGAGATGAGAAAGGTTGTAGTATGTCCTAGTGGCTGATAAGATGCAATGTGGTAGGGTGTAGGGAACAAAGGTATCACGAGCTTGAAATCTGTATAGATAAGACAGAGCATTTTATTTACGGTTATGTGTTTAGGTTTTATTCTAAGATAAAGACAAACCCTTGAAAAAATTATAGAGAGAGCTATCTGGTAGATAATGTTAGGAATACAGATGACCAAGACGTACTTCTATACATGCTAATTCACTAGTCTGAGTGGATATCTAAAAGGTAGTATATGTAAGAAGCTCCCTTGGTAAGTCTGATTCACAACTAAATATAAGAGCTACTGACTTTTTCTCTTTGCTTCCTCATAAACCTTGCATCCTCATGTGAACTTTCATAATTTTCCAAGCTCATCTTGCCTTTTAAAAATTGTATGACAATATTTCAGAATTTTCTAACCCCTTTACTTCTAGTGGATATACTTTCCAGTTTATCATGATTTTTAATATAGAAGTCCCCTCCCTATCCCCAGTATAGGAAAATAGCATTTGTTCATTTTCTTTCAGACTTTGATTTCACAACTGAGAGCAACAAGTTATCTTCAGAAAAAAGCAGTTATGAAGTAAATGCATACCATCAGGAGATATTGAAAAGAAGTAAAATCTACAACTTTATGGGCTTTATTTTCAGAAATGACTCACAGTGTAGAATTGAGTTTGGGAGCCAACAGGGACCTAATGCAGCATATTTTAGTCAAATGATATTAAGAAAACACATATCCCTTCCTGTACATCAGAGAATCCACACTACAGTGAAACCATATGAATGTAAGGAATGTAGGAAGAGCTTTCGAAAATATTCACACCTTACTAAACATCTGAGAGACCATACTGGTGTGAGACCATATGAATGTAAGGAATGTGGAAAGGCCTTTGTAATTCTACAGCATTTTATTAAACATCAAAATATTCACACTGATTTGAAACCCTATGAATGTAATGGATGTGAGAAGGCCTTTAGGTTTTATTCACAGCTTATGCAACATCAGATAATTCATACTAGTCTTAAACCTTTTGAATGTATGCAATGTGGGAAAGCCTTTAGACGTCATTCTCACCTTACTGAACATCAAAAAATTCATATTGGTTTGAAACGCTATGAATGTAAGGAATGTGGGGAAACTTTTAGATTGTACCGACATATGTGTCTTCATCAGAAAATTCATCATGGTGTGAAACACTATAAATGTAAGGAATGTGGGAAGACCTTTGGTCATCGTTCAAGTCTTTATCAACATAAGAAAATTCATTCTGGTGAGAAACCATATAAGTGTAAACAATGTGGAAAGGCCTTTGTCCGCAGCTATCTACTTATTGAACATCAAAGAAGTCATACTGGTGAGAAACCTCATGAATGTACAGAATGTGGAAAGGCTTTTAGTAGGAGCTCAAGCCTTCTTAAACATAAGAGAATTCATAGTAGTGAGAAACTCTATGATTGTAAAGATTGTGGAAAGGCCTTTTGTAGAGGCTCTCAGCTTACACAACATCAGAGAATTCATACTGGTGAGAAGCCACATGGATGTAAAGAATGTGGGAAGACTTTTAAGCTTCATGCATACCTTATTCAACATCAGATAATTCATACTGATTTGAAACCATATGAATGTAAGCAGTGTGGGAAAGCCTTTAGTCGTGTTGGAGACCTTAAAACACATCAGTCAATTCATGCTGGGGAAAAACCCTATGAATGTAAGGAATGTGGAAAAAGCTTTAGACTTAATTCTCAACTAATTTATCATCAGACAGTTCATACTGGTTTGAAACCCTACATATGTAAAGAATGTAAGAAGGTCTTTCGTTCCATCTCAGGTCTTTCTCAACATAAGAGAATTCATACTGGTGAAAAACCCTATGAATGTAAAGAATGTGGTAAAGCCTTTAATCGTTGTGATCGACTTATTCAACATCAGAGAATTCATACTAGTGTGAGGCCACACAGATGCAAAGAGTGTGGGAAGGCCTTCAGTCGTTGCTATCAACTTACTCGGCATCAAAAATTTCACAGTGGGGCCGGGCGCTGTGGCTCACGCCTGTAATCCTAGCTCTTGGGAGGCCGAGGCGGGCGGATTGCTCAAGGTCAGGAGTTCAAAACCAGCCTGAGCAAGAGCGAGACCCCGTCTCTACTATAAATAGAAAGAAATTAATTGGCCAACTGATATATATATAAAAAATTAGCCGGGCATGGTGGCGCATGCCTGTAGTCCCAGCTACCCGGGAGGCTGAGGCAGAAGGATCACTCAAGCCCAGGAGTTTGAGGTTGCTGTGAGCTAGGACGCCACGGCACTCACTCTAGCCTGGGCAACAAAGCGAGACTCTGTCTCAAAAAAAAAAAAAAAAAAATTTCACAGTAGTGAGAAACTCTTAATGTAATTAGTGGGAAATCCTTTAGCCATTGCACATTTTTTACCATTATCACTAATCTACCACCTAATGATGTTGTGGTGAAGATTAAACTAGTTAACATATAAATCATTGGAAATGCATCTGGCATTTAGTATGTGCTTACTAAATACAGGTATATTTTTTATGGTGATTAGTATTACTAAAAATAAATTCATATGGAAGGAAGATCCTATAAGCCAATGCACCCAGCCCTTTAGTATTTTTTATAGTTTCTATTTCTTTACTAAGATTACCTGTTTCTTCATTGCGTGCATATTTTCACATAGCTTTTTATTCCTGTTAAAATCTTCTGTATATTGATTCTTGCTAGAAAAATACATATTATTATTAATATTAATACATATCATTATTAATATTAATAACTAGTATTATTAATATTAATAATGATGTGTGTTAATAATACACATCATTATTAATATAATTAATTATATAATATTTTTATATTTATATAAATATATAAATATAAATGTATATTTATATTTATAAAATATAATTAATATTAATATTAACTTGTACTGTGAAAAGTTTCCATTTCAGCAAATGTTCCTACCCTTTTGACTAGGTCACAGGAAAAAAAGCTTTTCCTTGCCTTGGGGTTTTAGATTTTGCTTGTTCATGTGCAGTGTGATACTGGTGAGAAAACATAGACCACACTGTCATCTTTTTGTCTTTGATTATTAAATATTTGGAAAGCATTTTTAAAGAAAATCTTGGAGTTCAAAGTACAGGAAATCTTTGTAAAATTCTTCCATCATTCAACCAGTGAGCATTGGCAAAGAACATAAGCTAAATTAATTGTTTGCTATTCCTTTTAACAGTTCCATAAAGTGGCAATGGCTCATAATACTTACATGTATATACTAAACCATGATATGGTTCATACAGTGGAACAAAGCAACTAGGGAGACATCAATTTCTTGCCTTAAAATTCAAAGGAATTTATATTTTTAACCTAACATAGCTGTAGTAACATTTTGACCAGGCATAGTGGCTCATGCCTATAATCTTAGGGCTCCTAGCACTTTGTGGGGCTAGGGCGGGAGGATTGCTTGAGGCCAGGAGTTTAAGACCAGCCTGAGCAGCATCGTGAGATGCTGTGTCTACAAAAAATAGAAAAATGAGCTGAGGGGTGAGGGAGTGCACACCTGTAGTCCCAGATACTGGGGAGACTGGGGCAAGAGAATCACTTGAGCCCAGGATTGTGAGCTGTGATGATGCCACTGCCCTCCAGCCTGGGCAAGATAGCAAGATCTTGTCTCAAAAAAGAAACTGAGTTTTTTTATACCTAGCAGAAATTCTGTGACAGAGGCACAAAAATATCTATGTTGTGGTTCTGCTTTTATAGGCTAAAAAGTGATAGCATTTAGTCTTGATTTGGGAGTCTTTTTTGAGATAAAAATGTACCCAGAGTATCAATTTGGCAGTATCTTGTATTGTACAATTCGTTTAAAACTAAAGAAGAATACTTGAAGGTTTTCTAATTTTGAAGTAATTGATTCTTGTTATTGATATTGTTAGAAAGAATTCTAGGGAGTTTTTTGGTTGCTTAATTGAAGATTTTTTTAAACTTTTTAAAAGTTATTTTTAGTCTTTCTCATTTTCTAACAAAATTTTCATAATTAAATAATTTATCTGTCTAAAATTTGTTTTCTTTTTGTACAAGAATCAAAGCCATTTTATAGCTGGACAATGTTATAAGCTCAGATTATGTTTAAAAATGTTTAAATATTTTGGTTAGGCATTTAATTCTGATTTTGCAGTAACTAATTTTATTTCATTTTGCTTATCAAGAAGAAACCTTGTATGAAATTTACTATGTATTTACTGAATATTTATCACAATAGTTTCCTCTTTATTAATTTTTTCTTACATACTAAATCAAACAGCTTTTTTATTTTGCTCTCTCAGAGTAAACTACAATTGGCATTCATCATTAAATTCACAGTACTTTATCTTTTGGTGTCATTTTTACAATTATAGCCATAATAATAATTGCCACTCAATTCTGGATCAGTAAAAAAGCCTTCATTTTAAATTTTAAAATTTTTCCATACTTTTTTTAACCTAGAAAAATAATTTAATTATAATTAAAGGACTACTTCAGTTTAATTACCCATTATTATTTTCTTAGTATCACTGTAACTCATGTTGCCATAAAGTGTTCTAATAAACACATCAGTTTCTTGACACAACTAGATTAATGATGTGTTTATTGGTAATACTAGAAAACACATGACCCAACATGCATACTATGTAATACAAAAATAGTATCTATACAATGAAATGGTTAAAGTGAAATGTAGTCCTAACAAAACAATAAAGTTGTCAGTAATGGAAAAATATTTTACACTGCTCTGTTTTTTAATTTAGATTTAAATAAAATCATTTAATGAACATTTTCACTATTGTTAAATGTGTAAGAAATGTATGTAAATTTTATAAGCTCATGTAACAATTATGAACATTTTTATAGCAAAGGTTTATGTCTTCTTATTGACTAATGCCATGGGAATAAATTATTATCAATTAAATCATTAATTATTGCTTAGTTGTCCCCATCACAGAATGTGTTGACTTACAGTGATGCCAGTAATGTTTGTGTGAGTCTAGTAGCTTAGAGTTTATGTCCAAAATTCTTCCTTTGCTCCTTGCCCTTAGCAGAGCTTGCCCCTGCCCCATTGAGGTTGGGCTTGGCCATGTGACTAGTCTAGTCAACAGAATGTAGGCAGATTTAGTACTATGTGTGCTATAAAAATGAACTGAGTAAATTTATTCCCCCAAATTCCAATTAACCTTTGTTTCATTTCCACATTATAAATTTTGGCCTTCTCAGTCTTGAGGCTAATAGAATTCCAGGAATTAAACGCAAGAGAGTAGGTAGGTTCCTTTTGTCCCGACCCGCAGGACCTTGTTACTCGCGGGGGCAAGGGGGACCGTGCCTGAAAGAGATGAGCGAGAGAAAGAAACGAGACCAAGCGAATGATTGTCAAGGTCTACTTTACTTGGATTTTTAGTAGGTTTTATATACAGAAAACAGGGAAGTAGAAACAGAAAAATAGAGTGGGGGAATAATGAGGCTTTCCTGTGGGCTAATCAGCCCCAATCAGCATCCCAATGGCACCGGAAGCTCTTTGTGATGGATCTCTCAACCCCAACCTGGCAGGGGGTTGGGAACAATTGCAGGTGGCATGCCCTGGAGCAAGCATGGCATGGAATGCATTCTTCTTGGAACTACAGCTGGGGAGCTGGGTGCTATTTTCCAGGATGAGGAGGCCCGTGCATAGGGCAAGTCGTTGAAATATGAAGGGTCTTAGTCTCCAACATCCTTTGACTCTGGAAGCAAAAATACTTAACAAGGTTTTCCCTGTCTCCTACTTCTACAAAAAAAATCAGACAATATTCTATATCATAAAAAATTCCTACTAAATATTGTAATGATATAGACTTTATGCTTCAAAACTTTTGCTACCTTTTAAAAATAGATATTCATCTTTAAACAACTGAAATTATGTTTGGTGGTCTTGGTATATGCATTTAATTTAAATTGCCATTTATGTTTTATGAAATGTATATATATTTGTAATTTTTGTTGTTAAAATAAAAGGTCACTCATTCTGTCTTCACATATGCATAGAAAGTTAATTAAATTGAAGACTGACAGATTTCTTATTTAAATAAAACCTCTGAGAATCTGTGGCTAAAGAAGCACCAGTGATTTTTTCAGAAATTATATATGACCCATTTTAGCAATTGAGGTAAGAGCAAATGTACATTACTGGCTAATGTGAAATGTTTCCTTGTTCCTAAGAGAATCACAGGAAATTGTCTCCCCTACTCTTTTCTCTGGATTTTGTCTTATCTGTTTTTAATATCTGGAAACCTGCCAGCCATCAGCAGCAGCCAACACTGGGGAACACAAAGTAGAAAACAGAAAAGAATCTGAACCTCTGAATATTTCACTTTGCTAATGAATCAAAAATCTCCGGAGCCTGCTATCTCTCTGAAAGCCTGTTATATTACTCAATATACTTCCTCATTGCTCCATCCAGTGTGGTACTTTAATTTCTCAGTGTATTCTAACTGAATAAAACAACGAAGGGTCATGATTCATTCTGGGAGCTGGAGATGAAGAGATAAAGATGATCCCATCACAGGCATCAAAACTAGCCTATTGTCTGATGGGGGAAAAACACATATACACGCACATGGAGAGTAATGGCAAATTGTACAGATGCTTTGTGAAACTAGACACACCTATATCCAATGCCAGGTGCAAGGAGTAGGGACAGATTATAAGAATATCCAAATAGGCAAAAAACAATCAGAAAAGTGGAAATTTAAACCACAATAATCACAATTATCTGATACATATACCTACCAGAGTAACAACAGCAAAAAAGCTTCTTTAAACTGATGATGCCAAGAACTGTCAAAGATATAGAGAAAGGAGAACATTCACATACTGCTGGTGGGAGTGTAAGTCGGTACATTTGTTTGTATTTCTGTTTACAGAGTGGGGAACCTGTGGCCTCAAGGCCACATGTGGCCATCTATCTAGGATCTTAAGTGTGACCTTTTGACTGAATCTAAACTGTATGGAACTTAAGGATCTAGAAGGCCACATGTGGCCTTAAGGCTGCAGGTTCCCCACCTCTGGTTTAGAATTTAAATGTACTATAGTTGAACACAGGCATACCTATGACCAAACCCCAGCAATCCCACTCTAAGTATATATAGAATTGTACACATGGGAGCTTCAAAAAGTATGCACAGTATGATCACAATAGCCCTATAAGGAGCTCTGACTTGTCAACATAGTATTCTCAAGAACACATAACAAAGAATTTTCAATGAGGGGCTATATTATTTTGCTTCTTTTATGTGCATCATGGCTGGTAGTACATGGCTATGAAGGCTTCTTAAAGAAATTGTGCTAGGCATTCTATTTGTACCTGAAGTAGAAATTAAAAGACAAAAAAAAGCAACAGATGGAACTAGAAAAGTGACTAAGGATCTCCAATTCAAAAGAAAATAACCTAATAGGATCATATAATTTTAAGGAAGAGTTCATTGTAATATAAAAACAAAAATACAATTAAAAATTATTATATAGTCTCACTCATGTGATGCAAAAATTAAAAATAAAATTGTATGGAATAAAATCAAGCAGTGCATCAGGAGACTAATATACCATGACTAACCTGGGTATATCCCAAATGGGAAAAAGTCAATGAAGTTAACAGTATAAATTATCACATTAACAAATTAAACACTAACCAACTGCAGGAAAAGATGATGAAATGGCATTTGATAAAACTCAGAAGCCATTCCTACTTATAAACAACAAAGATTTTTACTTAAAAATAAGAGAAAACATTAGAAGGCAACCATTTGAAGCCAAGATGCTAACTGCCATCTCATCATAGCTAAAAACCAGACTTGGTGACTGAAATTCCCAACTTTAAAGTCTCTTTTCGTTATGGCAGCATTTTTCAATGCAGTTTCACATAATAGGTAATGGAAATCAGTATTTCCATGGTAAAGTTTGAAATACACCAGTTTAAACAAAGTTAACAATGTTCTTTACTAGAATATTCTTTAGCCTGTTGATAAGCTGATAAGCTTCTTTTGCTTGTTCCTTAAGATTTAGTAGATGCTACTTTATAAGCTTCCTTAACCAGACTCCCACTTCTTTTTCAAGTACTAGTAAGCACTGGTCATTCTTAACACATAATTTTAAAAATGCTAGGATAAGGCATCATCTCCACATCTCTTGGTTAGATGCAAAGATGGTACCCAGAGGGAAAAACCAATTATCAATGATGTATTCTATTAAAACACTCAAAAGATTATGATTGTGTTATACTTGATTATTAAAATTGCAATTGTGTGGGATGATGTCAATCACTAGATGGTGAATGACTGAAAAATGATATCACGGATGTCCTGTCTGCACAAAATATACAGAGGTGAGGTGCAGATTTATGATAAACCACAGACATTTGGTTGTTGATGCAGAAGTTTTGGCAAAACTGATATCATTTCTTAAAAAGGAATAATGCTATAGGGTTCATTTCTAACTATGTGAGTATATAAACACACATACTATTTCATCAAAACTAATATTCTTTCATGCTAGCATTAAATCATGACAGCCACCTGGTTGAGAGTGATCACAAGAAGCCATCAATTTTAAGATGCATTGCAATTTCCAAATATTAAAATACATACATATGATTATACATCTCCAAAAGTAGTTGACCAAGGTTTACCAATCCTGCTAATTGTATAATGGATCTTTATAATGGAGAGCTCTAGCAGTCATCATCTTAATCAAGTGATCAAATCTGGCATTGATGATGATGGGGAAACAATAGGTATTATGTGCTTCTGATGTGTTTCAATATGAAGCACACATCACCAATTAAGAAGGGTTCTGACCAAGAATGTTTAAGCCTCTAGTTCCAGCTTTATTTTTGTGAGTGATATGAGGATAGAAGCACATATTAGATTTCTTATGAGGAAAGAAATCAATTCACTGTAAGAAACAAACAAATGGGTAGCATTCTATAAAACAGCTTTCCTAAATTCTTGTTCAAAAGTCTATTTCTTTTCAGCCTCAATTTTTGATGTAGCTTAAGAGATAAACTCTGAATAAAAATCCTCTCAAAATCTTTGCATTTTACTAGATCTTATCCAGAATGAACTATCTGAAATTTAAATGAATGAGTGTTTACAGGAAGCTTTTCTAAATTCACTATACCAAATATTTGTCCCTCTCCTGAGAACTCATCAGTAGTAATAGTAATGATGAAGATAATATGAATGATAGCTAATATGTTGAGCATAGGCTACATACCAGATACCCTTCCAAGAATCTGATGCATACTAAACCCATCCAATCTCTACAACAGCATTATTAGATAGTTACCATCACCAGAGTTTTAAACCAGCGTTTATGCCCAGAGGCGATAAGCATTTTGCCCAACATCCCACAAGTAGTAGTTACCATGTTTCCCTGAAAATAAGAATTACCCATAAAATAAGCCCTAGCAGGATTTCTAAACATTTGTGTAATATAAGCCCTACCCTGAAAATAAAACCTAGTGATGGGCATGGCTATGCAGCGTATCTGCACAACCCATGCATTTCATCGTGGTAAAGAAGTGGTAAAGAGTGGTAAAGAAGAGGAGCACCCCTTCTCATCTGCCCCATTGTGACAGCTACTATTCCAGAGGTGACTGGAAAGGTGCGGGCAGCCCCAACAACAAGGTTGGCTCCCCCTGTCAGGTCCCCACCATCCTGCATGTGCTGCAAGCTGAGGCTTTGAGGGGAAAATAACACATCCCCTGAAAATAAGCCCTAGGGTGTCTTCTTGAGGAAAAATAAATAGAAGACCCTGTCTTATTTTCAGGGAAACACGGTAGCTGGAATGGTGATGACAATAAGAATGGTTTATGCAATGGATAAAAGTCTTCCTACATTTGTTACTTTAATAGGGTTATTATCTAGGATGAATTTGCTAAAGTTTAACAAAGGTTGTATAGTGTCAGAAGGCTTCTATACATTTAATATATCTGATACATATTCTCTTATGCTGTTATGAGCATTAGAAAATCATGATTTCTTCATTCACCAAATCATCCTGCTAGTCTAATCAGAGAGGTGACAAGGCATACATTTTCTGTTTGAATTAAATCATACTGTGACTTATCTCATGTTTTAAAGAGTATGAATGGTGTCTGTAAAACTATTTCTAGGGAAGGACAAACTTCTTAATTTCCAATCATTTATGAATGGATAATTTAGTAAAATACAATGAAAACATTATAGTAATATCAAATTGCTATAAAAGTTTCCAAACATTTATTCTGATTTTCTGTATTTATCTCTTGATGGATAGATGACAATTTTGTGCACTGGCACTAGTCTCTGGAAAATAGTTTGAGTAGCATTTGTCTAAATGCCTTCCAACAATTCTAATTCAAAAGGTTTCTCATTCAGATGAATTCTCTGATGTACTCAAAGATGTTTACCATGTCTACAAGTCTTCCCCAATTCCTTATGTTCATAAGATTACACAGCTGTATCAATACCCTGATGTGCAGCAAGAACTGAATTAAGTTTAGGTCTTTCCCACATTCCTTCCATTCAAAGTGTTTCTAATGAGTACAAATTATCTAATGTTGACTTTGTGCCATGAATAGAGATCTTCACACATTCCATATTTAAATGGTTTTATATCAATATAAATTGATATACAATAAGATTGTACAGAATTCTAAAGGCCTTTTCGTATTCCTTACATTCAATGATGGCTTTTGAACAGTCCTTACATTCATAGGATTTCCCAAGTGTAAGAGTTCTCCTCATGTTAAGTAAGTTGTCCATACACACACAAAAGCGGTCTTGCATGTCTTTCAATCATAAGGTTTCAGCAGTATCTATTTTCTCGTTTGAGTAAGTTGTCCATATGAAGGCTTTCTCACATTCTTTATATTTGTAGGGTTTATCATTAGTATAAGTTCTTGCATGTTCAACAAGGTTTGAGCTATGAGTAAAGGTCTTCTCAAATTCCTTACATTCATAAATTTTCTCACCAGTGTGAAGTCTCTGATGAACACTAAGTTGATAGCCATTACCAAAGGCCTTCCCACATTCTTTACATTCATAAGGTTTCTCACCAGTATGGACTCTCTCGTGTTTAACTAGGCTTGAACCCCAACTAAAAGTTTTCCCACATTCCTTACATTTAAAAGGTTTCTCACCAGTATGAACCTTCTGATGTTGAGTAAGGTGATAGCCCCGACTAAAAGCCTTTCCACATTCTTTACATTCATAAGGTTTCTCACCAGTATGGATTCTTTCATGTTGAACAAGACTTGATCCCCAATTAAAGGCCTTTCCACATTCCTTACATTCATAGGGTTTCTCACCAGTATGAAATATCTGATGTCGAGTAAGTTGATAGCTACTACAGAAGGCCTTCCCACATTCTTTACATTCATAGGATTTCTCACCAGTGTGGACTCTCTCGTGTTTAACTAGGCTTGAACCCCAACTGAAGGCCTTCCCACATTCCTTACATTCAAAAGGTTTCTCACCAGTATGAATCTTCTGATGTTGAGTAAGGTGATAGCCCCGACTAAAGGCCTTTTGACATTCTTTACATTCATAAGGTTTCTCACCAGTATGGATTCTTTCATGTTGAATAAGACTAGATCCACAATTAAAGGCCTTTCCACATTCCTTACATTCATAGGGTTTCTCACCAGTATGAAATAACTGATGTCTAGTAAGTTGATAGCCCCAACAAAAAGTCTTTCCACATATTTTACATTCATAAGGTTTCTTACCAGTATGGATTTTTTCATGCTGCGTAAGTTGATAGCCACGACTGAAGGCCTTCCCACATTCTTTACATTTATAAGGTCTCTCACCTGTATGAATTATCTCGTGTTTAGCAAGGCTCGAGCCCCAAAAAAAGGCCTTCCCACATTCCTTACATTTATAAGATTTCACACCAATATGAATTTTCTGATGTTGGGTAAGGTGATAGCCACGACTAAAGGCCTTCCCACACTCTTTACATTGATAGGGTTTCTCACCAGTATGGATTCTCTTATGTTTAACAAGACTTGATCCCCAACTAAAGGTCTTCCCACAGTCTTTACATTGATAGGGTTTCTCACCAGTATGAAATCTCTGATGCATAGTGAGTTGATAGGCACTAAAATAATTCTTTCCACAGTCTTTACATTCAAAGTGTTTTTCAGCTGTATGAGTTCTCTCATGTTGAACAAGTTTTGAACCATTACTACAAGTTTTCCCACATTCCTTACAAACATAGAGTTTTTCTCTATTATGAATTCTTTGATGTGAAGTAAGAGATTTACTTTTCCTGTAAGTGGGCATCTTTTCATAGCTGATTACCATTTGACCAAAATATCCCTCTTGATGTCCTTGTAGTCCCTCAAATTTGCTTTTGCACTTCCAATTATTTCTGAAAATGGATGCCCCAAGGCCAAGGGTTTTACTTTTTTCCTTTATCTCCCCTTGAGAAAAATTTATTTCAAAAATATCCTTTTCTGAAAATATTTTTTTGGTCTCATATATTGTTGACTCCAAATCTGAAAGAAAACAAGAAAACACACATTTTATTTCCTTCACTAGAAAAAAAAACTCTTTAGTAGAAATAAAAAAAAATTGAAAATGATAACTATTGGAATTGAATTCGATTAAAATATTTACTGAACTCACTCCTGAACATTAAGGCTTTCCCCTGTTAAACAATAAACTCACCCTTGATTTTTCAGCTCTTGTGATCTTAATGTTCTGATTTGATAATTTTCTGGAGGATTCCACAGAGATCACTTGAGTAAGTCCTCATTTTCCCATGTGGATGGTCCCTTAAACAAAATGTCAGTTTCTATCAATCAAGCCCTTATGTGCCCAGCTGTGGGCATCGAATGTCCTCTGCTAGGTATGTCTATTAATGGAAATTGACTTCTTACTATAACGAGCTTTAGCTGATTTTGTTTTGTCTAACCCAGGCTTTCTAAGTTTTCTGTAACACATGGCTTGTTTTCTTTACCTCTAGCCAAAAGTCTACTAAAAGACTTGAATTTCACTTTACAGTTTGTTGTCTGAATTTTCAACCTTGATTTCAACGTTTGATTATTTGTGATTTGTGTGGTACATAAGGAAAGTTCTCCACCTTGTAATTGGCTTATGTGCACACCAGGTCACAGAGCCCCACATAGCTGACTCATCAGGAAATCATTGTGCCACTTTCTACATTTCAAACTTGTCATATGTCACTGATGGTGGGTTTGTATGTCTACACTTTTGTAATGAAGTCTACGGGTAACTCATGGTTGGAGCTATGGCTTACCCCACAACAACATCATAAACTAGTGATTACTAGACTGCTAGCCTAGCTCTGACTACACAGCTGATAAAATATTCTTTATCACCCTTTACATCACTGTTTTTTTGTCTGTTTTATTTTGTTTTTGTTTTTGTTGAGTCAGAGTCTCACTTTCTTGCCCGAGCTAGAGTGCCATGGTGTCAGTCTAGTTCACAGCAACCTCAAACTCCTGAGCTCAAGTGATCCTACTGCCTCAGCCTCCTGAGTAGCTGGAACTACAGGCACGCACCACCATGCCCGGCTAATTTTTTCTATATATTTTTAGCTGTCCAATTAATTTCTTTCTATTTTTAGTAGAGACGGGGTCTCGCTCTTGCTCAGGCTGTTTTCAAACTCCTGACCTTGAGTGATCCACCTGCCTCGGCATCCCAGAGTGCTAGGATTATAGGCGTGAGCCACCGCACCCAGCCTACATCACTGTTAAATATTTCTTCCAGGTATAGAAATAATCCCTTCTGTTATGCTCTGCTTTAAATTAAAGATCTGCAAGCATGAAACATTTAATAACTTGCTCTTCAGGAAATTCAGTCTCTTATATGTATATTCACTATTATCCTAATTCCTAGGCTTATCTGGCAAAGTGGCAGCCTTTCAATAAAGATAATTAAGAGTTACAGTGGCCACTTGACAGACTTTTACTTTTAAAAAGTTTCTGTAACCCCAAAGAGTTCTAGAAAAAAGAAGAAGACAATTAGAAAATAAGATTTTAAAAAATCTACATGAGCTCTATGCTAAGTTGTAGAAACTAATAAATGCTTATATAAATTTTTTAAAATAGAATTTAACAATTTTCAACATAAGAGAAAAATTAGATTCTCACTGCTTTAAATGTTGTAGCTCTTTAAGAAAACCTTCAAATACTTACTAAAGCTGTAGCACAAAGAAAAATGAGTTTAACTCCCAGTTAACGTAATGGTCCTATTTACTACATTAAAAGATAAAATGCAAAGCATTGCTATTAGATTTTCAATGTTTTAAAAGAACTTCAAAAGTTTATGTGATATATAAATGTAATGAGAGTTCAACTAATATACCCTATTGAAGATAAATCCTTGGATACTAGTCTAGTATGATAATATGTCTTCTTCCTGATTTTATCACAATGTAAAAACTATGTTAACAAAATATTCTAGTTCATGCAAAACTTGGGTTTACTTTATCATAGAAAGCCAAATTATTCTGAAACATCTAAGTTTTCTATAGCTGCTGTCCTTATCAGAAAAGCTAGACCTGGCTAACTTTTTCTGTAAAAAGCCAGAGTCTCAACTATTGAACTCTGCCACTTTATCAAGAAAGCAACTGTGAATGATATGTAAGCATATAAACAAATGGGCATGGCTATGTTCCAATACAACTTTGTTTACATAAAGAGGTGGATTTGGCCTCCAGTACCATAGTTTTCCAAACCTTAAGATAAAGCCTTGTAGATAGAAGTCTGATGGAAAAAGAAAAAAAAAAAAAAAAGAAAGAAAAAAATAAAGAAAATAATTAAGAAAAATAAAAAAAAAAAGCCAACATTGCTTTCATAAATATTATAATAATAAAATATGTTCAATGAAATTTAAATTACATTTATTATAATTTATTAGCAGAGTTTTACAAAAAATTGATTGATTTTTATAACTTCCGCTAATGATGCAAATTTGTGAATTCTGTAAATTTACTTATTAAAAATTTTTCAATGTTTATCAATTATTAAAATGGATAATTACATTAAAGATCACTTTAAATTATAAAATCTCTAATTCTCTTAGAGACAATGATCTTGATTGTTAATACACACAAAAAGAAATACAGAATTTTCAAAAATAGGCTGAAAAATCAGACGGTTCCAACCCTCAAAAAGCAAAATCAGCAATGTCTGAGGAATAGAGGTCAGATTTCCAGAGGTACCATTATTATAAAATTCAGAATGCCCAGTTTCACAACAACAAAAATATAAAGTATACAAAGAAACAGAAAACTATCACCCTTTCACAGGACCAAGAGCTATAGGAAACCAGGGAAACAAAGGAAGAACAAATGAGAATAGCCATAGAAGGACAGAATTATAAAAGAGCCAAACAGAAATTCTACAGTAAAATAACTGAAATGAAAAATTCACTAGAGGATTCAGTAGAAGAGTCAGCAAACTTGAAAACAGGTCATTTGAAATTACTGCAGATCAGCAATAAAAAGAAAAATTAATGATGATAAATGAACAGAACCTGAGGGACTTGTGGATACATCAAGCACACAACACACACATAATAAGAACCAGAAAAAGAAGAGAGAAAGAAGCAGAAAATATTTGAAAAAATAATGTCCAAAATCTCCAAAACTGAGGAAAAACAGAATACACACATCCAAGAAGCTCAAAGACTTCAAACGGATAAACCAAAAGAGATCCACAACAAGACACATTCTAGTTGAATTATGGAAACTCAAAGACAAAAAGAATTCTGAAAGCAGCAAAGAGAAGCAAGAGAGAATCATGTACAAGGATCCTCAACAAGATTAATACTAACTTTTCATCAGAAACTATGAGGACAGAAGGCAGCAGGATGAATATATTAAAGTCCAGAGGAAAAAGAAATCTGTCACCAAGAAATTCTATATACAACAAACTATCCTTCAAGAATAAAGGCAAAATTAAGACATTTCCAAGTCAGGCATGGTAATCACGCTATAATCCTAGTACTGTGGGAGGCTGAGGCAGGAGGATTTGTGAGCTCAGGAGTTCGAGACCAGTCTGAGCAAGAGTGAGACCCCATCTCTACTAAAAATAGAATTAGCCAAACAACTAAAAATTGAAAACAAATTAGCTGGCATGGGTGGCACATGCCCGTAGTCCCAGCTATCTGGGAGACTGAGCGCAGAGGATTGCTTGAGCCCAAGAGTTTAAGGTTGCTGTGAGCTAGGCTGACGCCACGGCACTCTAGCTCAGGCAAGGAGTGAGACCCTGTCTCAAAAAAAAAGACATTTCCAGAGAAAAACTCTTGAGGAGGTCATTTCCGGTAGACCTCCCTGCAAGAAATGTTAGAGGAGTCTTTTTAGGCTAAAGTGAAAGGACACTAGACAGTAACCTCAAGCCACAAGAAGAAATAAAGATATCAGTAAAGCAACTACATAGGTAAATATAAAAGTCAGTATTATTATACTTTTTGTTTGAAAGTTATGTTTCCCTATATGATTTAAAAGACCAATACTATAATCTATGTTAAAGTAACCAGGCATGTTACTTAGAAAATGGCTGACTTTAGAGCTGGAGCAGGGAAAGAACAAGATGAGCCTGGAACACCTTGTTGTGTCAGAAAACAAGGAGGTGCTCAACGAGTGATGGAGATTTGCCAAAAGGGCACAAAAGCCATCACAAAAGGGTCTCCACTGACCAAATCTGGGACAAGCTCAAGCTCAAATATTTTAAGATTCAAAATAAATAATGGGAAGAACAGATTATAGGCTACTGACTAAAATTCCAATATATAAATAAGTGGAAATGTTGAAGAGGAACGTGATCTTTAATAATATCAAAGTTCTTCCCCACAAAATATTTGTTGAAGGAAAAAAAGAGTAATTTTACAAGGATGAAGCAGACATGACCACAATCAAGTGCTCAAAGTGAGTAATATCAGTAATGACAAATCATGCAAGGAGAACAATACAGTATCGATTCTGTGATATTCTTACCAAAGATCCACACTCTAAATTTAATCATGAGGGAAAAACAGACAAACCCAAACTGAGGAACACTGTACAAAGTAACTGGCCTGTAATTCTTTTTTCTTTTATATTTTTAATTATTATGAGTACATATCTTAATATATATATCATAATATATATCTTTATAAGGTCTGTGTGATGTTTTGATACAGGCATTCAATGTGAATTAATCAAATCAGGGTAATTGGGGAATCCATCACCGCAGGCATTTATCATTTCTTTGTGTTAAGAACATTCCAATTCCAGTCTTCTAGTTATTTTAAAGTATACACTTATCATTGATTATAGTCACTTTGACGTGTTATGAAATACTATTCATTCTAACTATCTGGCTATATTTTGTGCCCATTAACTATCCTCACTTTACTGCCCCCACCCCCCCTACTATTCTTCCCAGCCTCTGGTCACTATCATTCTACTCTTTGTCTCCATGAGATCAACTGTTTTTAATACTTAGCTCCCACATATGAGTGAGAACAAGTGAGATTTGTCTTTTTGTGCTTGGCTTATTTCACTTAGCATAATATTCTCCAGCTCCAACCATGTTGTTGCAAATTGTAGGATTTCATTCTTTTTTATGGCTATATAATATTCCATTGTGTATATATATCAAATTTCTTATCCATCCATTGATGGAACTTAGGTTGATTCCAAATCTTTGTTATTGTGAATAGTGCTTAAATAAACAAGGGAGTGCAAATATCTTTTCAATATACTTATTTTTCCTCCTTTGGATATATACCCAGCAGTAGGATTGCTGGGTCGTATAGTAGTTCTATTTTTAGTTTTTTGAGGAACCTCCATACTATTCTCCATAGTGGTTATACTAATTGACATTCCTACCAACAGTGTACAAAGGTTCCTCTTTCGCACATCCTCACCAGCATTCATTATTGCCTGCCTTTTTGATACAAGCCATTTTAACTAAGGTGAGATGATTATCTCATTGTAGTTTTGATTTGCATTTTTCTGATGGCTAATGATATTGAGCATTTTTTCATATATACTGTCAGAAATTTGTATATCTTGAGAAATGTCTATTCAGATCTTTTGCCCAAATTTTAATCAGATTATTTGATTTTTTTCCTATTGAGTTGTTAGAGCTCCTTATATATTCTAGTTATTAGTCCTTTGTCAGATGGGTAGTTTGCAAGTATTTTCTCCCATTCTGTGGGCTATCTCTTGACACTGTTGATTGTTTCCTTTGCTGTGCAGAAGCTTTTTAGCTTGATGTGATCTCATTTGTCCAATTTTGCTTTGGTTGTCTGCACTTTGAGGGTATTACTCAAGAAATAATTGCCCAGATCAATGTCCCGAAACATTTTCCCAGTGTTGGTTTTCTTTTAGTAGTTTCATAGTTTCAGGTCTTACAGTTAAGTCTTTAATCCATTTAATTTGGTTTTTGTAATTGGCAAGAGGATCTAGTTTCCTTCTTCTACATATGGATTTCCAGTTTTCCCAGCACCATTTATTGAAGAGATTTTCCTCACTGTATGTTCTTGGAACTTTGTTGAAGATAAGTCCACTATAGATGTGTGGATTTACTTTTGGCTTCTCTATTCTGTTCCACTGGCTTATGCGTCTGTTTTTATGTCAGTATCATGCTGATTTGGTTACTACAGCTCTGTAGTATAATTTGAAGTCAGGTAATGTGATTCCTCCAGTCTTTGCTCAAGATGGCTTTGGCTATTCTGGGTCTTTTGGGGTTCCATATAAATTTTAGGATTATTTTTTCTATTTCTGTGAAGAATGTCCTTGGTATTTTAATGGACATTTTCACAATATTTATTTTTCCAACCCACAAGCATGGAATATGTTTCCATTTTTTTGTGTCCTCTTTGATTTCTTTCATCAATATTTTATCATTTTTATCGTAGAGATCTTTCACTTTTTTGGCTAAGGTTATTCCTAAGTATTTTATTTTGTTTATAGCTATTGTGAATGGGATTGCTTTCTTGATTTTTTTTGAATTGTTTACTATTGGCATATATAAATGCTACTGTTTTGTATATTAATTTCATATTCAGAAACTTTACTGAATTTGTTTATCAGTTCTAATAGTTTTTGTGTGTGTATATGTGTGGAGTCTTTAGGTTTCTCTGAATAAAAGATTATATCATCTGCAAACAAGGATAATTTGCCTTCTTCCTTTCCAATTTGGATGCCCTTTATTTCTTTCTCTTATCTGATTACTCTAGCTAGAACTTCTAGTACTGTGTTGAATAACAATGGTAAAAGTAGGTATCCTTGTCTTGTTCCAGATCTTAGAGGAAAGACTTTCAGTTTTTCCATATTCAATATGATATGAGCTGTGAGTCTATAACATATGGCTTTTATTGTATTGAGATAAGTTCTTTCTATACCTAGTTTTTTGAGAGTTTCTACCATGAAGGGATGCTGAATTTTATCAAAAGCTATTTCAGCATCAATTAAAATGATCACATGGTTTTAGGTCTTTTATTCTGTTGCTATGGGGTATCTTATTGATTAGTTTGTATATGATAAATCATCCTTCCATCCCTGGGATGAATCCTACTTGATCATGGTGAATAATCTTTTTATAATGTGTAGTTGAATTTACTTTGCTAGTATTTTGTTGAAGATTTTTGCATTTATGTTCATCAGAAATATTGGCCTATAGTTTTCTTTTGTTGTTGGTGTTCTTGTTGTTGTTATGTCTTTGTCTGGTTTTGGTATCAGGGTGATACAGGCCTTGTAGAATGAATTTGGGAGTATTCCCTCCTCCTTGACTTTCTGGAATACTTTAAGTAGGATTGGTATTAACTCTTTGAATGCTAGGTAGAGACATGAGACATTTTTAGGATTTAACTTAATGTTAAATACAAAATTCAGAGATTGTAACTTTGAACTTCAAATCTGTTGTAAGTAAAGGAATCTGTTCACTCTAGTAGTAAATTAATTCTGTTCATTTAATCTACCCCTATATAAGGTAGAGAGGCTCTTTTGAAAGTCAAAATATACCAAGACTCTGTTTCTAGCTGTTCTCCCTACATGAGTGTCAGAAAATAACAAAGAACCATGCTTCTTGCTTTAATGTGCTTAAGAATCACTGGGGGATCTTGTATAAATGCAGATTCTATTCAGCAGGTCCCAGGTAGGACCTGACATGCAGCATTTCTAACCAGCCCCAGAAGATAATTATGTTAATTGTGTAATATTTCACAATAAAAAGTTAAAACTTAAAAAAAAAAAAACCACACGCACACAACCTATAAACCAAATCGTGACTTCTAATCACTAAGAAGACAATCCATATTCCTCCCCCAAACCAACTCCCCAAAACTGTCTATCATCTGGCCTGCCTATCTCCATCACTAATTTCCTGGTACTCTCTCCCTCACCAACTCTGCTCTGGCCTTCTTATGGTTCCTCAAACAAAAAAACCACAATTTGAGTAGCAAGGACACACACCTACAGAAAGTCTCAAGTTTAACACAGTATGAAACCTGGTTTCTTTGATAATGGTTATGAAATAAATGCCCTATAAAGCAAAATCAGGCCGGGCGCTGTGGCTCACGCCTGTAATCCTAGCTCTTGGGAGGCCGAGGCGGGCGGATTGCTCAAGGTCAGGAGTTCAAAACCAGCCTGAGCAAGAGTGAGACCCCATCTCTACTATAAATACAAAGAAATTAATTGGCCAACTGATATATATATAAAAAATTAGCCGGGCATGGTGGCGCATGCCTGTAGTCCCAGCTACCCGGGAGGCTGAGGCAGAAGGATCACTCGAGCCCAGGAGTTTGAAGTTGCTGTGAGCTAGGCTGACGCCACGGCACTCACTCTAGCCTGGGCAACAAAGTGAGACTCTGTCTCAAAAAAAAAAAAAAAAAAAAAAAAAAAAAAAAATCAGTCCCTTGGTCATTAAGGAAGAGAGGAGATTGCAGGAAGGGGCCCGGATATAAAGCTCACTGAGGGATGAGAAAGGTCAAGCTGCTTAACAAACCCATTTCTAACCCAACAAATATAAAAACATTCCTTTGGGAACAGAGAGAAAAAATTCACCTGGTTTCTTCAAAGATAGCCCTATAATTTCCGGTAGGGAAAGCTGATGTTGTAAAGAAGATTTTCTAAATTATTTCAGGCAGATGACCTTACCCAGTGACACCAAGTTACTATAGTTCTCCAACATCACATCCAGGTATAAGTCCCTCTGAGTGGGGTCCAAGCATTCCCACTCCTCCTGAGAGAAGTTGATGGCCACATCCCTGAATGTCACCAAACCCTAAAACCAAAAATCCATGTATTACTAGTGAAATTAAAGAAAACATTTCCAAGAAGAAAAAAGAGGATATGAAGGATAAACCACAAAGAAGGGGAAAATACAACAATCAGGTAGGCTGGAAGCCTCTGATACAGGTAGGAAAAAGCATGAAAATTAGAGTGACTAAACCAAAATGTCTACATGTTCTAGAAGAATCCTGTTATAGCAAAATTAAACCCCAAAACCCTTCCTAGATACTATAAGATAACTCAGCTACCCAGACCTGCCTGGTAATATATAAAATAATCACAGCTTCTTCTCCATTAAATAAAAGGTGTGTATGTGTACATATACATGCATAGATACAATCTACTATGTGCCTGCCTCATAAAGTCTTTGTAAATGTGAATTGCTAACCATCTTTTCCCTTTAAGAAATAAGAAAACATAAAAACGTTTTTCCAAATATATTATAAAGTCTCTATTTTCTAAAAATGATATCCATTAAATTAGGGATTATCATCAAGTTTCAAATACACCATTCTGTTAGATTATATCATAAGCATTATCTTATTATTATGATGAATAAACAAAATTTTTTTAGCTGAAATTCATTTTATTCTCTAGATATATGAGATTAATAGAGTTATTATATTTATACATTTGGGATGAACAAAACCTCTGAAGATCTTCTTAATTCTGGGAATTTTCTTACTTGTTACCATCAACCACCCTTGCTAACACTTTCCTTGTTCCTGAGTTAGATTATACTGATATAAGATGTTGTACATGACACAGATGTCACCCAAGACCTGCATGTCCTGGTCAATGACAAAATGGACTTCAAAGTCCACTGAGTTCAAAGTCCATTGGTGGTGGAGTTCTTTGGCAACTTCAAAGACCACTGGTGTTCATCTCTTAGGGCATTCCTGGAAAGAACCACTTACTCCCCTCTCTAATCAGAAGAGCCTCCCAAAGCATGTAACAGCATCACATAAACTAAGGTTGAGACGAAGCAATCCTAAATTCCATCTTACTTGTCTGGAAAACCCAAGTTCTTGGAGCAGTTCCAAGTTTTCCACTGTGTTTCAATGGGACCCTCATCACTAACATATCACACTACAGACTTGACAGAGGAATGAGAAATTCAGGTAAGGGAAATAGTGCAGACGTCGCTGAACAAAGGTGATAATGAAGGGCATTACTGAGACAGCCTGCCATGGACATGCCATAGTTAAACACCAAAGCTCTCCCAGGCAATGCATAAACAACTGAAGCTGTTCTTTTGAGTGACCATCCGGTTGTCTAAGAGCAGAGTATCTTGACTGGATTCTTTGTTAGCTGCCCTCTAATTAGCATCTTACCCTCAAAAGGGAAAACCGTTGTTTAAAAAAATCCTGAAGTCTTTCATTCTCTTCCCTTTCCTCCTTTATATGAATCCTTTTGGTGCCTTTGATAGATGAAATCAATCTACTATTGGTTTTCCTTATATACAAATAAAAGCATACTAATTTGTTCTATATATCTTTGAACTATTCTTTGACAGAAGCTTAAGTATCTCGCTCGAAAGGCTTCATTACTTTACTGCTCTATCACTGCTCTTCCTAGAAGACTGAGCACACGGGAGATAATGAACATTATGATCAGTGAATATGACACTGATTGGAAAGGGGAGGGACACACAGGAGGATTCTGGCCTATTTGGCATCATCCTTCACTGGAATAGGAAGAACTGAGAAGTAGGTTCAGAGATGGAGTTCTGTCAGGTAGAAAGCCTTAAGAAATTAAGGAAAAGATTCACATGATCTAAAAAAAATCACAATATTTCATGGAGAGAAAAATATCAACTTACATCAGTCATGGTTCTAGAATTGCAAGAACTAATTAATGCTCCATGGGGTTCCTCTACTGGTGAAGCACAGACTCCAGAAAAGCCAGAACTGGGGAAGGAAAAAGTAGCATTAGACCAGGTGTACTTATGTGATCCCATGCTGATTTAAGCTACTAAAAATATTTTATCTTTTCCATTCCTACTTCTACTCCATACCCCACACACCATTTATGGAATCTAAACTCTCACACAAAACTCCAGGGTTCTTCATTCAGCAGGAAGGTTTTAAGCAGTGCTTTGGGGATGCTAATCTGGACATGGGATTGGACTACTCGGTCCTGCCCAGATCAGATCCTCCTCCTTTCATTTCCACCTCTCAGGACTGATAAAAGGCTATATGGTCTAAGCTAGAATGTCCTTCATGGGCTCAGGACTGAAGGAAATTGGTCAAGACATGGGAGCTGGACAGGATAGACAAGAAATTGCTCAGGAGTATAAAAACGCTGACTTCTTAATGCATATATCAGAACATCCATGATACAGAACACTATAAAGTTAGTAAGTGCTAAGTTGGGGAAATAATCAAGATATACTGTCAACAGAAAAAATAGGTTATGAGATATACAGTATGATTACATTTATTATATAATATACACATAAACGCACATATATATATGCACACACACATACACAGAAAGACTGGCAATCAAACATCAATAGATGTTTGGAAAGTTATACATCTATTAATAATGTTTACCTTTTTATTGTGATGACAATGTTCTTTTTGTTTAGGTATTCTGCATAATTGTAACCATGGCCATGCATTATGTTAACGCCATGATTTCTACATATGCCCATGTCCTGCCTAGAAAATAATGGCTGGAATTCCCCAAGTAATACTGTGGATATATTGATGAGGTCTTGACCAAGCTTCCCTTCATGTCTTCTTGAGAGATAGGTTTATTTTGCATCTGAACTTATATTAGACATGACATCCTCCAAATAACTGCCGAATCATCTGATACTATTAGCCTCACTTTGCAACTAACATTAGTAGAATAAAAACTATAGAGAACTGACAGAATAAATTCCATTTGCCTTCACATAGTTGGCTGTCACCCGGCAATATTGCTTATAAGTACTTTCCTATGAATTCCTAAGGTTTCCTATGAATTCACCTGGATTGCCTATTAGCCTTTATTGGTGGCTGCCTTACACTTATTTCTAGGCATGTTTTAACTAAAAATATATAGAAAAAATTAGCTGAGCATGGTGGCGCATACCTGTAGTCCCAGCTAGAGTCCTGGTACTCTAGCCTGGGCAACAGAGTGAGACTCTGTCTCAGAAAAAAAATAAAATTTAATTAAAAAAAATAAAAATGTATATATCACCAGTTACTGTGATTTTATTCTGCAGAAACAAAACAAGACACATAGGCTCACAGGAAAAATGACTTGAATAAAAATATACCAAAATAGTAAGAATGATCAACTCTAGAAGATGTAATTTTAAGTTCCTTCTCTATACATCTCCTGGATTGCTGAATTTTTTACACCAACCCTGCATTAATTCCCTAATCAGAAATATAAAGACATTTCCAAATGTAAAAATAGAGTGACAGGGGAGGAATATATTTCAGTCATTAAGAAAACTGAAGAGGCCGGGCACAGTGGCTCACGCCTGTAATCCTAGCACTCTGGGAGGCTGAGGCGGGCGGATTGCTCAAGGTCAGGAGTTCGAAACCAGCCTGAGCAAGAGCGAGACCCTGTCTCTACTATAAATAGAAAGAAATTAATTGGCCAACTAATATATATAGAAAAAAATTAGCCGGGCATGGTGGCACATGCCTGTAGTCTATTCAGGAGGCTGAGGCAACAGGATTGCTTGAGCCCAGGAGATTGAGGTTGCTGTGAGCTAGGCTGACGCCATGGTACTCATTCTAGCCTGGGGAACAAAGTGAGACTCTGTCTCAAAAAAAAAAAAGAAAAAGAAAAAGAAAACTGAAGAAACAGGACTACCACTGAAAATCAGCGGGCCTGAAACAAATTATATCTACAAGCCCTTGAACAACCTGTAGCTGTTGCTCATCAATTTAAGGAGACACTTTCACTGTCAAGATTCTTCTGAGAATCAACACAAATTAGGTAAGCCACCTTCAAAGTCTGAGAAAGAAAATATGTGAGCATAAACAGAACAGTATTTGGTATAGCACTAAGTGTGGCTATACCTCTCTACTTTTTCACTGAACGACCAATTAAAATAATACTTTGGCTACAATCCTTCAAAAAGGTCTTTCAAAACTCTATCTTATCAGATAAGATTCATATATAACATAATATTCTTTTTTTTTTATTTTGAGACAGAGTCTCATTCTGTTGCCCAAGCTAAGATAGAGTGCCATGGTGTCAGCCTAGCTCACAGCAACCTCAAACTCCTGGGCTCAAGCGATTTTCCTGCCTCAGCCTCCCAAGTACCGTGTTTCCCAGAAAATAAGACCTACCCATAAAATAAGCCCTAGCAGGATTTCTAAGCATTTGCACAATATAAGCCCTACCCCCAAAAAAAGACCTAGTGATTGGCGTGGCTACGAAGCATATCTGCACAACCCATGCATTTCTTCGCTGAGCGATAAAGAAGATGAGCAGCCCTTCTCATCTGCCCCATGAGAGTTCTATTGCTCAACATGAGAGACTGGGGCCAATGGTTCTAAAGGAAATAGAGTCACAAGAAATTCAGGATGGAATTCGGGGTTTGGAGAGTTATGATGATGTTCCAGAAGAAGACGACTTAACTATATTTGAATAAGTGTAGATTGTTGTACCGTACTTTAACCCTTTGCACTCACTTGCTTTTTTCTCATTATCCACTCTCGACATCCGAGTGCAAAGGGTTAAAAAAATAACACATCCCCTGAAAATAAGCCCTAGGGTGTCTTCTTGAGGAAAAATAAATATAAGACCCTGTCTTATTTTTGGGGAAACACGGTAGCTGGGACTATAGGCGAGCACCACCACGTCTGGCTAATTTTTCTATCTTTAGTAGAGATGGGCTCTCGCTGTTGCTCAGGCTGATCTGGAACTCAAAGCTCAAGCAATCCTTCCACCTCGGCCTCCCAGAGTGCTAGGATTACAGGTGTGAGTCACCTCGCCTAGCCTGCTACAACTCTTAATATTTAGTAAGCCCTAATCATGGGCCAGGCACTGTTCTAAAGAGTTTTACACACAAAAACACATCATTAAAACTCCATTAGGTAGGTATTATTTTGCCCCCATTTTATAGATGTGGCACAGAGAATCTGAGTCAATTGCCTAAGCCTAAGCTCACACATATTGTAGATCCAGAGCTTTCCTTTTTTTTTTTTTTTTTTTTTTGATACACAGTCTCACTCTGTTCCCTGGGTTAGAGTGTTTGGTGTCATCATGGCTACTGGACCCTCAAATTCCTGGGCTAAAGTGATCCTCCTGCCCCAGCCTCCCGAGTAACTAGGACTACAGGCACATACCACCATAACTAAGTTTTCTATTTTTAGTAGAGATGGGGTCTCTCTCTTGCTCAGGCTGGTCTTGAACTCTAAGCTCAAGCAATCCTCCTGCCTCCGCCTCCCAGAGTGCTAGGATTACAGGTGTGAGCCACCACACCCGGCCCAGAGCCTTACTTTTAACCACAACGTAGTACTGCCTCTCACAAGCCAAACAAAGCTAAAACTGAAATAACTCATGTTTGACAATGTCAGACATTTCTAACCAAAGATTATCTGAAAGTCCTTGCCTTGTTGGTGCAGAGCACATCCCTATGCTCAGTGCTCAATCACATTTCTGCCCTAAAAGCCTCACAAAGCAGGCAACATTTATGGCTGAAACTTTGCATTGCTTTAAAAAATCCTCCTACCTTGCCTTGCTTTAAAAATCACGACTATTAAAAAGATAAAAAATAGTTTGTATGCAATACCACACCTAAATACTAATCTCCTCAAGTAATCTAGTCTAAAATAAAGTCGTAACATTAATCTCCAGGTGGTGTTTTTCTATACCATAAAAATGCACTGGAGGATTTGAACAATTTCCCTTCTGAGTAGGTGGCTAATAATTGAGGAGAAGGACAATAAGGGGTTACTGAGAAGTCTGCACCAGTGTGGTGGGTCATTAACCAGAAGGAAGACCCAGGAGAGACACTACTAGTCAACATATTTCACGCCAAGAAAAGCAAATGTTCTCATGTCCTAGAAACAAAAGTAATTGAATGTATTAAACACACACACACATGCATGCACGCAAGCACACACGCATACACAAACTCACCTGAACCTTGATTTCTAAATGTGAAAAAATTATTTTCTTCTTCTCAAGGTGCTTCCCAAGAACCTGGCAGCACTGAAGGAAAGGGGAAAGGGAAATTATGAGACAGCAGCATTTCTCACAGTACAGATATACTCAATGTAAAAAGGAAAAACAAAAACAAAACCTTCATCCACACATAACCAATGAAATGATTATAAAAGGGAGGCTGCCACCTGTCTCGGAGTTGACAGCAATACTTGGGGACAGAGGTCCGGCTGCAGTGGTTCTAAAACGTGTAGCCGGCCTCCAAAGAGCTCCCAGACGCGCCCCTTCTAGGAATCCTACGTCTAGAACCTCCCCATCATGTTTCCCAGCAGTCTGTCACAAGGATACTTCCAGCTCTAAAACTCCTATCTTTCTTGCTTGAAACTTTCATTCTGGGCCTTAGTTAGTATAGACTTCTTTCTCGCTGTCATTTAACTGTGGCAGGCCCAAAGACAGCCTAACGGGAACCCAGAGCACTCGGTCAAAGCAAACCGCACCTACAAATAAGGCCAAGTACCCCACCACCCCAACCGCACCCACTGTCACGGAAACACACCCTGGCCCTGTCACTCCGTCCGTCACACACTGTCGCCCTCAGCTGCTCGAGTACACACAGGCTCGAGGCCCACAACACGCCCTGTCCGTGACCCCGGGCCTCCCACTTCCTGCGCCCCCGATGTCACCCCCACCCTCACTGCCGGTTCCGACAGGGCCCCAGTAAAGTCCGCGGAGTCCTCCTAGCCTCACCGGCGCTGATTACTTCTACGGACACGACCGACTCACCGCGCAGAGTCCAAAATCCTTGAGGACACCGGATAGGGACCCGGAGACGAGGTTAGTTTGGATCCAGAGGCCTGTGGGAAATAAGAACCGGGACACTCTCAGGCTGGGAGCGGGACCATGGAAAGAGCTCCTCACAGGCACGCTCACCCGGTCCCTCACAGACCCGCCCCGGAGACTTCTGGGAAATGTAGTCCCGGGAAGCCGGAACGAGGGCGGCAGGACTCCCCCCAGCATGCAACTCGGCTCCGCCTGTCCCGGGCGCTTTTGCCAAAGCTGGCGGGAACTATGTGTTATGCTACAGGGAGTAGTTCCTGGCTTGAGGGAGTCTGGGGGTTCAGCCGTCTTTAGTGTGATTGAGAACGAATTAAAAGACCCTCAGCAAAGGCTAAAGAACGCATTCTAGTGTCCAAAGCAGGCGAAGATGGGAATGAGGTGTCCGGGGACTTAGGCCTGAGGGCGCCGGGGCGTCCAGGTAAAGTCCGTGAAATGGCTCTGAGGGACACCACCAGTTTACCCGGGTACGCAGTTGAACAGATGCGTTC